GTTTCGTTATAGCGGTGTAGTGCTTTGAGCATACCAGTGTTTGGTACCTAACGCATCATGGGCCTATTCATTATTATCATTATTATCATAGATATAGTAGATATCTCATAAGATCAATATGTGGTTATATATATCTCATAAATAGATATCTCATAGGTCAATATGTGATGATATATATCTCATAGATAGATATCTCATAGGTCAATATGTGATGATATATAGCTCATAGATAGATATCTCATAGGTCGATGAGGTATTACGGTACACATCAGAAGGAGTCCATATCATGACAGGTACAGATGAGCTTGAACCAATGGAAGCTATCAGATAGGCACTATGATATGCAGGATGATTCCTAGATATTGACATACTAATGTGTAGTAAAGCATCCAGGTTAATGTGCCCTTTTATGTTCAGAATGTGGAACAGCATCTATTAACTGTTAATCCTTTACTCTGCTGTAGTTGCTGGTGACGTGTTTGTATCACTGTTGTTTAACAGGACTGAGTTGGGTAGGCAAGGTCACTGCACAAGAAAGACCAAATTTGTTGTAAATTGATTTGGCATGCAGGATTTATCTTGTATGGAGCTCATTACAAGCCTCAAGTCAAATGGAGAAATAGTGAATCTTGCAAAGCCTGGCCACAGGATGTGGAACTCTGATTAGAAATGGGTGCACTTTCTGAATCCCTTCTCCGATAATTAACATGTCACTCTATGGCTGCCTCTAATTAAGGAGTTTGGTGAACCTCTTCCTCGAGGAAGGATTATAAATGGGGGCTTATAGTGTCTTAAGTGATTGGAATAGCCTGTTCTGTATCTGTTCACCCACCCACCCCTGCAGGAATTAATGGATTGATCCACATCAAAAGGATAAAGATTCCATAGGAGATTCAGGGTTAAAAGGTGAATTTTAATGACAAATTAGCATGGTGTCTTTAATGGTCAAATTGGATGGCTTAAGGCTTGACATATGTGGAGTGTTCAGGAGACTGTTTAGGGCGCTTTTAACATTGAGGTCGCTTTTAACATTGAAATAAAAATGAACATCAACATTATTTAATTGTGATGACTTGATATTGCAAACATGCAATCAAGTTTCATATTGAGCTCCCATTACAAGATTAATGTATGAAAAGAAGGTTTGGGTATTTAATTAAATTGATTTTTCATATGAAATAAAACGCTTGGGCAGTGATGCTTGAAGTTTGCCTAATTCGGGTGATAGCATGCCCTGCACATAGAAACAAACATGATGCATGAAATATGATGTGTTTTCAATGGAATGTTGAGTACTGTGGAACTCGTCTTCCCATAGAGACTATACCTTGAAATCACAGGATAGAAAATCTTATTTGGTGGTATGCAATATTAATGACCATCATACTTTGAAATGTGTCTCCGTGGTGATTGATTGCTTTGTAACTGACAGAGAAAATGCATATTTTTTATTGATGTCAAATGCCAGTCGTCGTTTTGAGTCAACATCACTGTTTGATTTTTCTGCCAAGGAACGTGAGGTAGTAAGGACATTTTCCACAGCTTCCCAGTGAACGGCCAGAACACTTAGTTCATTAGGTCACCCTCTTTGATGTCGGAAATTTCGTTATTGATGAGATTGAGGAAGCCTAATACAACTATCCTGGCAGTATTTTGTTAAAGGGTGTGCAAAGATAGGAATTATGACATTAATATTCCATGAGCAGAGACTTGTCATGGCCTTTGTCTTGCGTCAGGTTGCAAATACTCCACTTCTTTGGTCACAGCATTCATTCGTTTACATTCCAAAGATTCTGTTTGGAGCTAGCTTTTAGCTTTTCCTGCCTTTTCTTTGAGTTAACTGTACATTAAAGGATGGTGGAAATGTAAATTTTGTTAAAGTGCTTCATTATGTTTTTGCTGATCATGTTGTTACATGACGATCAACTCAGGGACGTTACAATTATGATCCACGCACGGCTTCACATTCCTCTCGTCCCCAAAGAAGCACTCTTCTAGTTCACAGCTGCTAACAGAAAGTAGATTTCTTTTGAGTTGGATGTTTCAAACATGTCAAATGTTGAGTGTATTTTTTCTGAAATACTGCACAGATGGGAGGTCGTTCTAGTATGTTATGCTTGTTGAATTTATATCTTTGGTTTTAATGAAACAATGACAATGACAAATGAAAAAAATCTTGTTCAGAACTTGAAGAAAAGGTGGAATCTTTAAATATTGCAATTTCAATTTGTTTACTCATTTATCTTTCTTCCTCGTACAATGAAGCACAACAGGTAGTATTCATTCATGGCTTTGAATTGATGGCATTCACTCCTGAAAGGTTGGAATAGAAATCTTTTTCCTTCAAATGCCAAGTATGTCATTTTGGGAGATTGTTTTTGTTTAACATTGAAGCTGTGCTATCACTTGTCAAGCATGTGAGAAAAAGTTTGCAAGATGTTTGAATTTAGAGGAGTCATACTGAAACCATACACTTAAGGGAGGTAACTGCTGGAGGTGAAAAGACTGTCTGGAAACAGCATCGTTTTTGAAAATGTTTTGTTGAGAATAAGCCAACAGATAAGCTTTTTGCAAAGAGGCAAAAGGAAGAATTCTAGAAAATCCTTTTCCCAATATCTGCAGTCTTGAGACAAAATTTCTCTGCATATATTCGATCCATGCTTTTTGTAAGAAGTTTTTGAAGAAATCTAATTCCCATGTCTTCAGTAGAAGGTGCTATAGGTCATGACCTCGAAGCTGCATTCCCATCAGGTTTCCATGGTAACCAGATTGGGGGACAAATTAGATTTTTACTGGGAATATGTATTCTTATTAGATTAGGCAGTTCTTGATAAAATGCAAGTATTCATAAAGTAAATAGCTTGCAGGATTGAGGTGGTAAACTTGTCACAAACACGCAGAACTTAGCTATCCTCTTAGTCAGCAGTTTAAAGGCAGTGTTCCACTTCTGCACAAATATCAATGTCCATTAATCTGCTTCCAATAAAGACATTAATGTTGTGCCTGGATTGTTATGGCTGTTTCAACTAGAATATATTCCCGATGAAGAGCCCCTTATGAACTTCATCTCAACAGTATATATGTTGCTGTCTGTCAATGTGTATTTTATGACTTGATTGCATCCCAAGACTTACAAATACCAGTAAAACTGAGTGCTTTCTCTCAATAGTTTCTAAGCTAAATTATCTATGTCAAGATGAAAGGACAGTTCTCAGTTGTCTTCCCTCTGTATTTAGACCCCAAATATATTTTTTTAAAGGAAATGTGAAAAACGTATGTGAAATAAGGATTAGTTAATAAATTATCCAATGGTTCTATCCAAAATATATATTGATGGAGGATCTAATTACATATATCTTTTCCAAGAGGACCTAATACTTCATTCTGTGTTAAAAACCAAACATAAGTCTTCCATTTGTTGCATGTTTGATTCAATCTAGTGTGATGATGGAGGAATGTTGACAGCCAGAGAAAAGCAAGCCATCTAGATCTAGAAGGTGCCACCTCAAAAAAGTCTTTTTCAAATAAGATCTTGAAGCAGCCGACACAAATGAATGGTTGCCGAGCAGTGTGAATAAAGGCTGTTGAATTTGGCAGGATATCCTTGGAACAAATGAAGTTTTTTGAAATGCCAAAGTGTGAAATGAAGACATATTTGTCAAGCCAAATTGGTTGACTTTAGGCTACATGAATGGTGTATCTACAGCCCGAAGTTAGAAATAATTGTACAGTGTTAAAACGGATAATGCATGATACTGTCAAATGTAGCTAAGATCAAATTTAAACTGGCACTCAGTGGGAATGAGGCGAGCAAATCTAGTTTATTTCCTCGATATTTTGATAGTCCATGTGTGAGGGCTTCACCTTTAAGTGTGGTGCTGTTCAAGGGACGTTGTAGGATGGGCATAAATAAGCTGATTTTTGTCAACACCCAGTAGAGAAATTCATGAGGTCGGCAACACCGGTATGTAATGTTGCACTCTGTGACATCACTTCAGCATCCAATTGTAGGCAGCATTAGTGTTTGGTTTCTCACAAATTGGTAGGGGAAATTAGATTTGCTTATGGACAATATCAAGGTTTTGGCAAACCATCTTTGACGTAATTTATGTTTGTTGTAATGGCATCCTTTGGTGTAATAGCCCAGTGTTCGGGAACCCACCAATTTGAGACAGCAAATGGAACACTTGAAAGAAAGAATTAAACTAAAACTATCTTGGAATGGATGTTTTTCAGGAGACATTTTTCTTATTTGCTAAAAGTGGAGGACAGATGCATTATATTGTATAATGTGTACCAATAGCACTTTGATCATTTTGTGTGAGAAAGTCAAACTTTTTATCAATTTGAATGTCAGAAAGTAGTTTAAAATTGACTATTAATTACATTATAGGAATCATGTAAGTGTTGGGGAATAAATAGTTCTTGTGCCACAAAAAGAGAACAGACAGGTATTCTCAGGTGAAGGGAACATTTCTCAAGTACCAGTATTTAAAAAAAACCAGCTCGCACCTGGCTCCTCCATCATCAATCAACTCACACAATCGTACCACAGGTCCTTTATCAACAAGTATGCCTGCTTTGCACACAAGCAGTCACTCATTTTGACAGCTGTCATTCTGACACATATGTCATTCTGACACATCACTCAAACTGATGCAGGCTTCCTGTTGGTCCATCAGATCTGTCGATTAGGAAGGGATATGATTCTATGAATGAAAACTGTCCGATTCAATCAGACATTTTAGATTTCCCCATGTTATTCCCTGTTCCCTGTGGAACTGAATGAGTAGTGGTACTCACCTCCTGATATTGAAGGATGATCATAGTCAACTCACTAACTCCTGTTTTGGGAATATAATGTGAGTTAGGATTGAGTGCATTCTTTCATAATGTATGCATCTACTCACTTAATAATCTTAAGTAATCCAGCTGATGTTATGAATATGTACAGTAAATGATGTATACAAGCCAGACTAAGATGTCGTTTGTTGTTTCAGAACCAGGTGGCGCTGAAGAAAGACAACAAGTATGTTGTTCTGACGTTCATCCTGGTAGGATCCATTGCTGGCATCCTCCTCGCTGTTGTCGTCATCTACATCATCAAGCGCCACACCCGATCCAAGGAAAAACTGGCTCAGCTATCAACAACAGGCGAAGGGAACGAGGCATCAAAGGACTACCAGGTATCAACAGCCACCATTTTGGGATTTTGAAAAGTTAAAACACAACATTTCTCTTAAACATCCAAGGCTGTATTCCAAAAGTCAACTCCTGTACTTAAACATAGACTTTCGATAGTCCTAGCACTGACGTCACTTTGTGGGTTGGGGTAAAGGTTGTTAAGTAAAGGCCATGTGAAAGATTCTTCAGGGGAAATGTTTTTTAGTTTTGTCCAGTGCGAAGTGTAAATTCTTGCTTTGATATTATTATACAAATCTCCGGAATTTTAAGAATGAGTTTTGCCTAAGCATGCTGCATGGTTGCTTACAAATGTGAATGAGTTTTCTGCCTTCCCAGAAAAAAAGCAAAAATAATTCCTGGTGACCTGATAATTCTGAAAATAAGATGGTGATGATTTTTCATCTGTATCAGAGACAGGAAATGATTTACGGTTCTCAGAAACATTCAACGGGTTTGAATCACAGATGTATGAATTAAAGAAGATGATAAAGATGACTGCTGTAGTGATTGAAATGATGGTTTGAAAGACTTGATTTCTGCAACAGGACTTATGTCGTCAGCGTATGCAGAGCAAGTCTTCCGAGAAGCCAGAGCCACTCCATGCTGCCTCCCGGATAGGCAGTGTGTCCGAGTCCCAGGTCCGTAGTCCTTCCAGTAGGAGCAGCACGTCCTCCTGGTGAGTTCAGGGATGTAGGGTACAGAATACACTCAAGAAATAACAGTAATGGGCAAACACAATTCTTTTGAATATTTGAATTTCATCATTCTCATTTGAAAAGACATATTGAGTTGCATCCGAAAACTCAATTGCTTAGCCACACCAACTCAACATGAAATACCTTGCCTCTGGAAAGTTAAGTGTTTGTCATCGTAACTAGAAAAGAGTGTAAAGCATGTTAGGTCATGTGTTTACGTGGAGTAGGAGAAATGTGGTGTTGCTAATGGAGAAATGTTTTTTGTGAAAGTCTCAACAAATAGACACGTGTAAAACAGTATGAAGAGTACACACACATATATTGAATTTGGATGACATCAGTCATCAGGCTGGATTTTGATTTATGAGTTGTGATATGTTTCAGCATTGGTTGATGTATATGCCCTGGTATGAGTCATGGGTTGTTTGTTGTCTGTGGTGGTTTTATGTTGTGGGATGTGTCAATAAAGAAATCAGTCCCACTGTGATGTGGAGTGATGTTCATGTGTGATGGAATGAAGACACCAGTGACTGTATAGTCATGAAAACAAGCACAGACACACCAGGAGGGACAGCGATGCACAGGCACTACAGTACATACTCTATGACAGACAATAGGAATGCTGTGTGGGACTATAGTTTTGTGTTCAAGTTAATACTGGGTCTGTCCTTTGTTCTGGTACATTACAAGTGGAAGTTTGTGTATTTACAAATACACTCAATAATGCATTCTGTAGGAAACAACACAAATATTATCCTCCAAAAAACATAAAACAGATGTTGGTATTAACAAAAGAATAAATGTTTAATGAAACATTTCATATTTGCATGAGGTGAATAATATATGTGTCACAAAAGCACTGTTTTATTTTCTCTTTACATGTAGAATGAAAACATTAATTCCATGATAACTTTATTAAAATAAGCATTTCTATTGGTACCTACAGAATTAAACCGTTACACTGTAATCAAAGATTTGTTTAAGACCAATGTGACTCTGGCAAAAGTATGAAATTTACGATACTTGTAGGACAAGTATCCACCCATCAGTCTCCACTCATCAGTATCCAGCCATCAGTATCCCCCATTGGCATCCACCCATCAGTATCCCCCATCAGTATCCACCAAACAGTATCCACCATCTACAACCACCAATCAGTATCCCCCATCAGTATCCACCAAACAGTATCCACCATCTACAACCACCAATCAGTATCCACCCATCAGCATCCACCAAACAGTATCCACCATCTACAACCACCCATCAGTCTCCACTCATCAGTATCCACCCATCAGTATCTCCCCCATCAGTATCTCCCCCATCAGTCTCCACTCATCAGTATCCACCCATCAGTATCTCCCCCATCAGTCTCCACTCATCAGTATCCACCCATCAGTATCCCCCACCAGTATCCCCCATTGGCATCCACCCATCATTATCCCCCATCAGTATCCACCCAACAGTATCCACCATCTACAACCACCCATCAGTATCCACCCATCAGTATCCACCCATCAGTATCCACCAATCAGTATCCACCGGTCAGTATCCACCCATCAGTATCAATCCATCAGTATCCATCCATCAGTATCCACCCTTCAGTATCTCCCATCAGTATCCCCCCATCAGTATCCACCCATCAGTATCCACCCATCAGTATCCACCCATCAGTATCCCCCATCAGTATCCACCCGTCAGTATCCACCCATCAGTATCCACCCATCAGTATCCACCCATCAGTATCCCACATCAGTATCCACCCGTCAGTATCCACCAATCAGTATCCACCCATCAGTATCCTCCCATCAGTATCCACCCAACAGTATCCACCATCTACAACCACCCATCAGTATCCACCCATCAGTTTTTCCCCCATCAGTATACCCCATTGGCATCCACCCATCAGTATCCCCCATCAGTATCCCCCTATCAGTATCCACCCATCAGTATCTCCCCCATCAGTATCCCCCATCGACATCCACCCATTGGCATCCACCCATCAGTATCCCCCATCAGTATCCACCCATCAGTATCCACCAATCAATATCTCCCTCATCAGTATCCCCCTCATCAGTATCCCCAATCAGTATCCACCCATCAGTCTCCTCCATCAGTATCCCCCTCATCAGTATCCCAAATCAGTATCCACCCATCAGTATCCACCAATCAGTATCTCCCTCATCAGTATCCCCAATCAGTATCCACCTATCAGTCTCCTCCATCAGTATCCCTCTCATCAGTATCCCCAATCAGTATCCACCCATCAGTATTCACCAATCAGTATCCCCCATCAGTATCTCCCAATCAGTATCCACCCAACAGTACCCACCTATCAGTATCCACCAATCACTATCCCCCATCAGTATCTCCCCAATCAGTATCCACCCATCAGTATCCACCAATCACTATCCCCCATCAGTATCCACCCATCAGTATCAACCTATCAGTATCCACCAATCAGTATCCCCAATCAGTATCAACCCATCAGTATCCACCAATCAGTATCCCCCATCAGTATCTCCCCAATCAGTATCCACCCATCAGTATCTCCCAAATCAGTATCCACCCAACAGTATCCACCAATCAGTTTCCCCCATCAGTATCTCCCCAATCAGTATCCACCCATCAGTATCCACCAATCAGTATCCAGCCATCAGTATCCCCCTTCAGTATCCACCCATCAGTATCTCCCATCAGTATCTCCCTTCAGTATCCACCCATCAGTATTTCCCCCATCAGTATCCGCCCATCAGTATCCAACTTTCAGTATCCACCAATCAGTATCCCCCATCAGTATCCACCCATCAGTATCCCCCATCAGTATCCACCCATCAGTATCCCCAATCAGTATCCACCCAGCAGTATCCCCCTTCAGTCTCCACCCAGCAGTATCCACCAATCAGTATCCCCCATCAGTATCCACCCATCAGTATCCCCCTTCAGTATCCACCCATCAGCATCCACCCATCAGTATCTCCCCCATCAGTATCTACCCATCAGTATCCACTCATCAGTATCCACCCATCAGTATCCCCCATCAGTATCCACCCAGCAGTATCCCCCTTCAGTCTCCACCCTTCAGTATCCACCAATCAGTATCCCCCATCAGTATCCACCCATCAGTATCCCCCTTCAGTATCCACCCATCAGCATCCACCCATCAGTATCTCCCCCATCAGTATCTACCCTTCAGTATCCACCCATCAGTATTGCCCATCAGTATCCACCAATCAGTATTCCCAAACAGTATCCACCCATCAGTATCTCACCCATCAGTATCCATCCTTCAGTACCTACCCATCAGTATCCCCCATCAGTATCCACCCATCAGTATCCACCCATCAGTATCCCCCATCAGTATCCCCCATCAGTATCCCCCATCAGCATCAACTCACCACTATCCACCCATCAGTATCCCTCCATCAGCATCCACCCATCAGTATCCATCCATCAGTATCCACTCACCACTATCCACCCATCAGTATCCCTCCATCAGTACCCACCCATCAGTATCCATCTATCAGTATCCCTCCATCAGTATCCACCCATCAGTATCCACCCAGCAGTATCTCCCCAATCAGTATCCACCCATCAGTATCCACCTATCAGTATCCACCTATCAGTATCCCCCATCAGTATCTCCCCAATCAGTATCCACCCATCAGTATCCACCAATCAGTATCCCCCATCAGTATCTCCCCAATCAGTATTTCCCCCATCAGTATTTCCCCCATCAGTATCTGCCCATCAGTATCCACCTTTCAGTTTCCACCAATCAGTATCCCCCATCAGTATCCACCCATCAGTATCCCCATCAGTATCCACCCATCAGTATCCCCCATCAGTATCCACCCAGCAGTATCCCCCTTCAGTCTCCACCCATCAGTATCCACCAATCAGTATCCCCCATCAGTATCCACCCATCAGTATCCCCCTTTAGTATCCACCCATCAGTATCCACCCATCAGTATCCACCCATCAGTATCTCCCCCATCAGTATCTACCCATCAGTATCCACCCTTCAGTATCCACCCATCAGTATCCCCCATCAGTATGCACCCATCAGAATCAATCCATCAGTATCAACCCATCAGTATCCACCCTTCAGTATCCACCCATCAGTATCCCCCATCAGTATCCACCAATCAGTATCCCCCATCAATATCCACCCATCAGTATCTCACCCATCAGTATCCACCCTTCAGTATCCACCCATCAGTATCCCCCATCAGTATCCACCCATCAGTATCCCCCATCAGTATCCCCCATCAGTATCCACCCATCAGTATCTCCCACATCAGTATCCACCAATCAGTATCTCCCCCGTCAGTATCCCCCATCTGTATCCACCCATCAGTATCCACCCATCAGTATCCCCCAATCAGTATCCCCCATCAGTACCCACCCATCAGCATCAACTCACCACTATCCACCCATCAGTATCCCTCCATCAGCATCCACCCATCAGTATCCACCCATCAGTATCCACTCACCACTATCCACCCATCAGTATCCCTCCATCAGTACCCACCCATCAGTATCCATCTATCAGTATCTCTCCATCAGTATCCACCCATCAGTATCAACCGAAACGTATCCACCCATCAGTATCCACCCATCAGTATCCCCCCATCAGTATCCACCCATCAGTATCCACCCATCAGTATCTCCCCATCAGTATCCCCCATCTGTATCCACCCATCAATATCCCCCCATCAGTATCCCCCATCAGTATCCCCCCATCAGTATCCCTCCATCAGTACCCACCAATCAGTATCCACCTATCAGTATCCCTCCATCAGTATCCACCAATCAGTATCCACCCATCAGTATCCCCCATCAGCATCAACTCACCACTATCCACCCATCAGTATCTACCAAACAGTATCCACCATCTACAACCACCCATCAGTCTCCACTCATCAGTATCCATCCATCAGTATCTCCCCCATCAGTCTCCATTCATCAGTATCCACCCATCAGTATCTCCCCCATCAGTCTCCACTCATCAGTATCCACCCATCAGTATCCCCCACCAGTATCCCCCATTGGCATCCACCCATCATTATCCCCCATCAGTATCCACCCAACAGTATCCACCATCTACAACCACCCATCAGTATCCACCCATCAGTATCCACCAATCAGTATCCACATATCAGTATCATCCATCAGTATCCACTCACCACTATCCACCCATCAGTATCCCTCCATCAGTACCCACCCATCAGTATCCCTCCATCAGTATCCACCCATCAGTATCAACCTATCAGTATCCACCCATCAATATCCACATATCAGTCTCCACTCATCAGTATCCATCCATCAGTATCTCCCCCATCAGTCTCCATTCATCAGTATCCACCCATCAGTATCTCCCCCATCAGTCTCCACTCATCAGTATCCACCCATCAGTATCCCCCACCAGTATCCCCCATTGGCATCCACCCATCATTATCCCCCATCAGTATCCACCCAACAGTATCCACCATCTACAACCACCCATCAGTATCCACCCATCAGTATCCACCAATCAGTATCCACATATCAGTATCATCCATCAGTATCCACTCACCACTATCCACCCATCAGTATCCCTCCATCAGTACCCACCCATCAGTATCCCTCCATCAGTATCCATCCATCAGTATCAACCTATCAGTATCCACCCATCAATATCCACATATCAGTATCCACCTATCAGTATCCACCCATCAGTATCCACCCATCAGTATCCCATATCAGTATCCACCCATCAGTATCCACTCACCACTATCCACCCATCGGTATCCATCCATCAGTATCCACCCATCAGTATCCCCCATCAGTATCCACCCATCTGTATCTCCCCCATCAGTATCCACCAATCAGTATCCATCCATCAGTATCCACCCATCAGTATCTCCCCCATCAGTATCCACCCATCAGTATCCCATATCAGTATCCACCCATCAGTATCCACCCTTCAGTATCCTCTCACCACTATCCACCCATCGGTATCCACCCATCAGGACCCACCTATCGGTATCCACCCATCAGTATCCCTCCATCAGCATCCACTCACCACTATCCACCCATCAGTATCCCTCGATCAGTACCCACCCATCAGTATCCACCTATCAGTATCCCTCCATCAGCATCCACTCACCACTTTCCACCCATTAGTATCCACCCATCAGTATCCCTCCATCAGCATCCACTCACCACTATCCACCCACTGGTATCCAGTTGCTGATTCAACAGATTGAAACCTTAGCTCAAGAAATAGAAATGGAAAATCCCTTTCTACAGTACTCAAACATTAGCAGGGCAGACTAAAGCTCACATTGGTGCCTCTCATGATTGTCTACAGATGCCATCCTGAAAGCAGAAAACCAAAAATAAATCTTTTGATTTTTTTCCCCTTTTGGCCAGATTGATCAGCCACTGTGACCAAGTCATTCCCCTCCATTAATCACCCAATGAATGAATATGTTATCTTTCATCAGTTTGTGCTCCAGAACCCACCATGTCAAACCAGGGAGTTATTACATCATATTATCATACAATTAATCGTGTCCTCTACTGGGCTATGTTGGTTGTGGTTATTAATGTATAATTTAGCAGCCCTTGGGACAAGCAACAGCCCTGGAGCACCACTCCAAGCTCTTTGAATCAGCAATCACCATGACTACTTGGTTATCATTGAATTAATTTATCATTCACATTACAATAGACGAGACCAAAATGGTTGACAGATTTGTAATCCAAGAAATAATGTTTTTGTGTGATTGTGATTTCACTGAGAGTTGGAGAGATATAGTTTTGTGTCTAGCTATGCCAGAAAGGTTGGTATTATTCAATGCTCAGTGATTTTGGATATTGTGCTGTTGCCCCCCCCCAACACACACACACACAGAGCCTGCACGAGGGTACCTTACATCTACCAGGCCTACGCAGACACACACACACACAGCCTGCACGAGGGTACCTTTTATCCACCACACACACACACACACAGCCTGCACGAGGGTACCTTATGTTCACTTCACCAGGCACACACACACACACAGCTTGCACGAGGGTACCTTATATCCAACACACACACACACACAGAGCCTTCACGAGGGTACCTTACATCTTACAGGCCTACACACGCGCGCACACACACACAGCCTGCATTAGGGTACCTTATATCCACCACACACACACACACACACACACACACACAGCCTGCACGAGGGTACCTTACATCTACCAGGCCTACGCACGCGCGCACGTACACACACACACACACACACAGCCTGCACGAGGGTACCTTATATCCATCACACACACACACACACACACAGACACACGCACACACACACACACACACACACAGCCTGCACAAGGGTACCTTATATTCACTTCACCAGGCACACACACACACACACACACACAGCCTGCACGAGGGTACCTTATATCCAACACACACACACAGAGCCTGCACGAGGGTACCTTACATCTACCAGGCCTATGTACGCGCACACACACACACACACACAGAGCCTGCACGAGGGTACCTTATATTCACCAGGCCCACACACACACACACACACACACACACACACACACACACACAAAGCCTGCACAAGTGTTCCTTATATCCACCACACACACACACACACACAGCCTGCATGAGGGTACCTTATATACACACACACACACACACACAGAGCCTGCACGAGGGTACCTTATATCCAACACACACACAGAGCCTGCACGAGGGTACCTTATATACACACACACACACACACACACACAGAGCCTGCACGAGGGTACCTTATATCCAACACACACACACAGCTTGCACGAGGGTACCTTATATACACACACACACACACACACACACACACACACACACACACACAGAGCCTGCATGAGGTACCTTATATACACACACACACACACACACAGAGCCTGCACGAGGGTACCTTATACACACACACACACACACAGAGCCTGAACGAGGGTACCTTATATCCACCACACACACACACTCAAACAGCCTGCATGAGGGTACCTTATATCCACACACACACAAACACACACACACACACAGCCTGCACGAGGGCACCTTACATCTACCAGGCCTACACACGCGCGCACACAAACACACACACACACAGCCTGCACGAGGGTACCTTATATCCACCACACACACACACACAGTCTGCACGAGGGTACCTTACATCTACCAGGCCTACACACGCGTGCACACACACATACACACAGCCTGCACGAGGGTACCTTATATCAACCACACATACACACACACAGCCTGCACGAGGGTACCTTATATCAACCACACACACACACACACAGCCTGCATGAGGGTACCTTACATCTTCCGGGCCAAAACACACACACACACACACACACACACACACAGCCTGCATGAGGGTACCTTATATCCACCACACACACACACACACACACAGCCTGCATGAGGGTACCTTATATCCACCACACACACACACACAGCCTTCACGAGGGTACCTTACATCTACCAGGCCTACACACGCGCACACACACACATACACACAGCCTGCACGAGGGTACCTTATATCAACCACACACACACACACACAGCCTGCATGAGGGTACCTTACATCTTCCGGGCCAAAACACACACACACACACACACACACACACACACACAGCCTGCATGAGGGTACCTTATATCCACCACACACACACACACACACACAGCCTGCATGAGGGTACCTTATATCCACTACACACACACACACAGCCTTCACGAGGGTACCTTACATCTACCAGGCCTACACACGCGCACACACACACATACACACAGCCTGCATGAGGGTACCTTATATCCACCACACACACACAACCTGCACGAGGGTACCTTATATCCACCACACACACACACAGCCTGCATGAGGGTACCTTACATCTGCCAGGCCTACGCACACACACACACACACACACACACACACACAGCCTGCAAGAGGGTACCTTATATCCAACACACACACACACACAGCCTGCACGAGGGTACCTTATGTTCACTTCACCAGGCACACACACACACACAGAGCCTGCACGAGGGTACCTTATATCCAACACACACACACACACACACAGCCTGCACGAGGGTACCTTATATTCACCAGGCCTACACACACACACACACACACACACACACACACACACACACACACACACACACACACACACACAGCCTGCATTAGGATCAGTTGTAGCTACCAGACATGCAAACAGACACAGCCTGCACTAAGGTCTGTGGTATCTACTATGCCAACAGATTGACACAGCCAGTTCATGTAGCACCAAAGAATTAAGAGATGACTGCTGTAGGTTCTGTTCATGGAGCTTGGTGTCCTCCTGCATCGATGTGCCAGCTGTGAGCTACAAGCCCTCTGATGTGACAGTAATGAGCTACGTCTATTTCTACCAATCTCACACTCACAGGAGTGAGAAGCGTGGATGAGAAATTCAATTTTTCCCCTAATACCTCATTGTGATGCGGGAAGGCCCACAGAGGGGCAAGGGTGGGCTTGTCTTGTCTGTCAAAGAAGTCGCTTGTGTCTTTTGCTGCTCATTAACTTCCAGATGACCCACACCGAAATCTGCCTGGAGTCACAATGTGCCTTGTTAAAAGTCTTTGTCTCCTGCTTCCCCTCATAGTGCTTTGCAATTCTACCATCGTTACGGATGCAGGGTGATCGGTGTTGGTAGTATGATGTTTTAGTGGTTAAGTAAGAATAGGATGAGATACTCAGCATGCTGGGTGTTAACTAAACCTATCAGAAATCTGTAGAAATCTTTCTCAGCTTTCCAGGATTTCCCATCCTAACCACCCTTTCCCTACTCATCCTTGCTGACTGTCAGGATAATCACTTGTGTCCATCAGAACAAGTTTTATTATCATGGCATTGACCTACGCAAACTGAAGACACTGCCACACAGTGTTGTAGGTTCACCAAGAACCTTGCACTGCTGCCACCAATTTAGCCTCACAATGGGCTTGTGTAATGGCAAAGTCGACCCACTTCTCCTCACTTGTTAGCTTTGGTGTTAGCTTTGTCTGGTGCCTAAATCTCACGTCTTAACCTAGACCCTAGTGGTTAGGAAGACAGGATTTCCTCTTCTGGCAGCCATATTGTCTGTGGTGACTTAACAGGCTTGACAGCATTCAAGGAAGAATCCAGGTTTATTTTCAAACCTTACAGGGAGAATTTAGGTTGTACGTCGGTTTTATCAGATTCAGAGATATGTCTTAAACATTTGTTTGAGATATAAAATGATAAATAACATGAATAACATGAATATATGTTTGTCAAATCTTAAGAATGGGGCCAAGTCATACAATATTTATTTTCAGTAAAAACATACTTTATTCTTTGAACTTAAATGCTGAAACTCTTAAAAGAATGTGATCAGAATGAAGTTGCTTTGTATGACTCATGGCACATGCACTGGAGTTAAATGGGCTGGGAAATAATGGTGATTCAAACATTTATGCTGATAAGCAGTAATAACATTCGAAAATCAAACCTGTAGTGAAATTGAAGTCACTGCAGTCTGGCTGGTCTTTTACAGCTTCACTGAATTACTCCTACCACTAAACTATTCCAGTCTTACATCTTTGAAAGAATGATTACACATTATGATGAACATAAAAATGCATAGACAAGCATACATCAGAATCTTTGTTCATATATACCCCAATTATGCTATGGTGTTAAGGTTGATGCCAATTAAAATGAAAGGGTGCATTAGAGGGGCTGGTTAGTGTGGAGTGACAATGAGAGACGGAAACCGGGGATTTTCTGTGTTTAGGTACTGTCTAACTAGGCACTGGGCACCAGACAAAACCATTGATCATAGAGGTCATCAGAGGTCACCAGACACGTTCACAGGAGTGGCAAGCAACTAGGTATGACAGTAATCTTTTCTGGAATCAATGGAACTTGGCAAAATAGCTGAGAATCTATACAACTTAATCTGTACTGACATTAATATTGGAATTGTTAAGAACAGGTTTAAGGTTTTCAATAATCCTCTTTGCTATGTGTTTAGATTTGTGACGGATGGTCTATTTTGCTTGACAAATGACATGTTTCGCTGTCAAGCAAGTATGCCACTAATAAAAAATAGATGTTGCATTTCACAAGAGCCAAAAACTAAAGTGGATCTGTCAAGAACCGAGAGTTAAACTTTTGCATATTGACAAACCCATTTGAAAAAACCTCCATAATACTCTTAAGTGATGTCATTTTCATCACCAAATCATTTCCCATGTCAATTTTGCCAAAATGTTGTTGACGGAAATAAACCTTTCAAAAACCTCAGTGCGGAAAATGATGGACAAATTGTGAGCAGGTTGGGTCGATTGTTGCAGAATTCATTCTGTAAACATGGTAACGGGGCAAATTATCCTCCTGCAGCGACAAATGAATTGTGGGATACATTTTCCCTCCTCACTGCAATTTCAGAAGCAAATTGAAACTCTATACGGTATTGGCAATGTCCAATTTTTGACAGGTTTGTGCTTTGATGAAAATAGACTTGTTGGGTCTCGAACAGCATGTTATGGACAGATTAGAAGTAGAAAGAGAAAAAAGCTTTTATCTTGGTAGAACATGAAAGATGGCTCGGCTGAGCTGATGGCTTGTCTACTGGGAACCAACCCTCCAATCAATATGGAGGATAGTAGGGTGGGTTTAAGGAGGGAAAAAAGATGGTAATTTACACATCTTTTGACAAATCTGCCTTGTTAATACCTGGGTAATCAAGCCACTTTGGCTGCCGACAAACATGGCTTTGCTCACACAAGGTATTTAAGCCACCCTTCTTACTGGTTCAAAGGTTTGGCAGGATATTTGAATAAATGCTCTTTTAACAGAATACTTTACAAATCCTGATACCTTTGATAATCTTTTTTAAACCTTTGCCTTGTTTGCATGTGTTGTGTTTTTTATTTGAAAATATTTTATCAATCTAATACTGATAATTCATAATGTAAAATTACTTTGTACAATTCTGCTCTTTATATTTAAGTAAATAGTACCTGTGCTGAATGTAAATAAATTATTTGTATTTCTAAGGTTAAAAGCCATAACCCTTTTAGCACCTGAAAATGCATTATGTAATTAATCAGTACACCCACGATTGTCTTAGAACACCCTATCATTTGTGGACTGAGGTGAACAGTCAGTATTCGAAATACGGATTTGCAAGCACAGACATAAAATAAGGAAAAAAGAATATGATCTGACAATGGCTATCATCAAAACAGACAATCATCCGTGATGTGGTTCTGAAGGGCTTTTTGTCGGGAGTCTAAAAACACGGATTGATAGAGTAATGAAATATTGAGTTCCTCACAGAAGAAGTCATGAAAGTGCATTAGACTGTAATTTGAAACCTCTGATCCGTGTAACCTCGTTTAAAGCCACAACATCAATATGATACAGGGCTTTTCAGGGCAGCAGGACATTGTGGGCTAGTATGGCCATTAATTTGGAAAACATCTAAATTTACAGGTTGATTACAAGGGGGGTTTTAGAAACTATAAATTATCTTGATTTTTGGGGTTCACCAGAAATCTTTTTAAACTGTCAACATGCATTCAGAATTTGTCTTCTATTTACATTAGATTAAGTAATTTACAGACAAGTAATATATATTCAGATTTGATTTTTCATATTGAAAAAATGTCATCTTCCCAAGGTAAGGGCGTTAACTGACTATGAAAGTCAAGTTTCCACCCTTGCCAAACTAGACTCGAATTTCTAAGCTCGATTATAGTGCCTCTATTGGCTTTTATGAGTTGTTTCCCTTCTGTGTTCCTCATATTGACCAATCAGATTCCACCTCTCATATGACATGCATTTGCTTCAAACAAAAAATGGTGGCACCCCATCTAGACGATCTAATTGATAATCAAAATCTTTATTGTGATAAAACGGCGCTTACTTCATGAAGCACATCAAACCAAGTGAGCACCTTGATTAAAAGCATGGAAATATTTGGAAAATATCTGTTGACGGCGATTTGGCGGTACACATGCTTTGCAAATCCTGCATTCGACCAAAATCTGCACTGCAGTTTCGAACCAGATGTCGATTTTGTTACACGATTTTGATTGGACAATGCATGGACTTGTAAGTCCAAACAAAATATAACACCATTCTTCCAGCCTAGTTCGGCAAGGGTGAAAACTGGACTTTTGTACTCAGTTAACTATCTTGCTTGGGAAAGATGGAAAAATGTAGACTGAAGTGCTCTTACAGGTATAAATTTTATGGTTTCCATGTTATTTAAGATATATTACCAGGATATACTGTTTAGCATATTCATGCGTCAATTCCTCTCTTCACTTGGTTGGCTCCACTCCACCTTGATAACAGTGTAAGAATCTTCATCGAAACATCGTTGTTATCCATAAAGTGATACATTGTGTTATAACTAGGTTGTGTTGTCACCTAAGTTACACAATGTTAAGGAGTGCGCACATGTTTCAGTCATCTTCCTGTTTTATCATAGTTTTGTAAATAAATATAATACAGTTTTGTTTAGAAGGATCAAAATGCTGCCACAAATCATAAAGTTACAAACAATAACATTTAGATATGGTGTTGTGTCTAGAATGGAGACTTCATTAAGAATGAACATGAAAGTATTAGGGTTAATAGATCCAAGCATTCCTACATAAATACTTCACACACATCATCATCCATGTAGAAACATTATTCACAGCTTGAGCCGACAAGAACTGACCTATAACCTCTCACCCCTGACCTTCTGTGTGTCAGCTGGTGTACTTATTTGTATACTAGCATATGAGTTGAGTTGAAAGTACAGCATCAGGTATCACCATGTCAGCACATCCATGTTGCCGAACAGTGTATCCAATGGTGAATGCAGGCATCTATTTATAGACAGTTACAACCCCTTTAATGTAATTTCATGAGTTTAAGGCATTGAACAGCAACACTAGATTCTCATATGGATTGTGTTCCTCACTGAACATTCAGGAAGACTGAAGGTGTCATGGTCGTGCACCATCCTATAGCGTCTTTCTTTCTGTGTCAGACATGGGCAGAGTGGCGTAAATCCTCTGGGGACTGCCATGACGTCTTTCTTTGCCATGTCTACCATTGTATTAGGAAGTCAGGGGAAACATCTCGCTTGTAGTATGTTGTAAGGATGTTGTGAGATTTCATGGAGATGGTGTTGCTGCAGTTGTGTGGGGAGGACTTGATGACTGTGGTATCCCGGGGAGTATTGCATGGCGAGGTTATAGCCATGGAGATTTGAACACTTGTAGAATCAACATCTGTCACATTGATTTGTGGTGTTGTCAGTGAGAACTCATCTACATTATAAGGATGTTTTCATTGCAATAAGGAAGAAAGACAATCTTCAAACCTGTGTTCATTCAGGTTTTAGTTTTCAGACAAGATACAATCTTAGCTTCCACACGACATATGACCTTGCAAGTCTTGTAGTTCGCCATGACATTGCCATACTGTTTGTGCTGACACAGCAATAACAGGAGAAATCAGGGATTGAGACACTGTCCATATGTGGAGGACATAGCAGAGGATGTGTGCAGAAGAAACCTCTGATTTACAGGTTTACATGTCCAGGAATATACCAGTAGACTGACACTGACATCATTTCATCTGATCTAGGGATGATTATAGTGTAGTTACTTCAAGTTACATACGGATCGTTCTTGCTGTGTGTTCTGAGCACAAGTGTATCTTGTGAAATTTCTTTCCTTTTGTGATGTATATTCCGAAAAGAATTTTTATGTATGGAATCCGAGAAAACCTGCATAGTACATCCAACATCTTTGTATTCATTTGAGAGAATGTTCAATACAATCACAGTTTATATTGAGTTTAATTAAAGATGTTGATAAGTGTGACAAAGAGTATTCCATGTGACCACTGTCAGTGATTCGGTTATGGTGGAGGGAAGCTGGTTAAGTCAATAACTTCAGAACTCGATGGAAACTTGAGGGACACTATTTCTCAGGTGTGCCTATGTTGCTGCTGGTTGACAGTTAAAACCATGGGATATGTATCCAAAACAAATTCTGGTGTAGAAAAGTATTATTTGCGATGTGTGAGAAACTGATCCAAAGAATTAATTCAGAATTGGAAATATATATTGAACTTTAGTGTCACGAAGTTCATCTAAATGGAACTAAATGGTATTGGGATACCAATAGGACATATCATACGTCTGTGTGTATGTGTAACTTGTTTATGAAGCGTGATGAGTCGGTTGTATCTGTCTAAGTCCAGAACAATACCGTAGCACAGGATCACTCGGTGACAAAAGGAGGATCTATTTATGGAACAGGGTTATTTTCACGTTGAGGATTATTATTTGTGATTATCTGTGTTGGAGATTTTGACCTGTGATAAGGGAGGGAAACCGCCCACCTCGTTACACCACACTGTGTGGCTTTATCACTAGGGAGGATCGCAGGTGGAACTTCAGTCACGGGCATCACATAACAGATACACACATGCTAGTTTGAATTCTGAAAATAACCAGCATGTGACTTCATCCTTCAGCCTATTTCTATGCAATTTAATGATTTAGCTGTGTTGTCGCAGTCATGGGAACTACGAGAGAGGAGGAGGAGGAGGAGGGGATGTGAATGAAATGGCTGCTGTCCCTGCCGGATTTACGATCACATAGTTAATTAGTGTCCTCGTTCGTTATGTCTGGAGAGAAGGACGACGAGGATTTTGTTCATATTAAAGATTGGTGCTGTGTGTACGATGTGTCTCCATGTTGTAGAACTGAAACTATCTATTTACCGTCTTCCAGGAGCGAGGAGCCAGTGGCATCCAACATGGACATATCGACAGGGCACATCGTTCTGGTGAGTAGAGACAACTCGGAGAGAATCAATATTTGTGAATACTGAATGAGACCTAGTGATAATGCTGTCGTCAACACCGCACTCGGCGCCACACACAGGTTGCTGTGCAGCCTCGGTCAGCGGCGCCTCCACGCAGGTTGTTGCAGCAGAGGAATGGAGCCAGAACTGTCTCTAACAGATGGTGCTTCATCCTGTGTCCTACCAGGCACATACGCATTCCAAAATTTGAGTATGTGTAGATATATAAGAAGCGATTGTTTTGTTAAAAAATTGTGCTGATTGGAGTTTGTATTTTTTAGTAATTACACTCGTTTGGTTTTCAATATTGAAATGGATATGGTCACCGCATCAGTGTACCTAACAAAATATTCCATTTTTGTTTCTTATTTATTAACTTTCCTTTTACTTTGTAATGAGATGTTAAAAATGTTGCTTATACTTTTCTTTTGTCAGGTTGCATAGAATTTGATTAATATGGATGGGATATTTACATGGCAAGAATAATTCAAATCTTATCCCATGTGTTCATTACAATGTGATGCATTTTGGGGAATATCCCCAATATTTTGGAGCAGTCGTAAAACAACTGAGGTGCTGAGTCAGACATGGCATAATGAGCAGTTATTACACTGACAGTAATTAGCAGATGATTACTATGCAAGATCAGGGCCACTGTTGGTCATTTACTCCCAAACCCTGAATAGCTCTGAATGGGAGCCTCTGCAATGCGAAAATAATGTCCAGTAATGTGTCATTTAATGTGGCTTTTTTTCAAAGCAAAATTTATATCAGAATTTAATTATGCTACCTACAATGTTAATGCAGTTTAATATGTGTAAATAACTTACATACAACTTTCACTGAGGTGATTAATGTTATTTGTGTCCAGGGCATTCAATGAAGTCAGAAGCCAAACGGTACACATACTGATACACAATTTAGGCTATCATTACCCCCACATTGTTTGTAGGGCGCAAATGTTTTCACTCTTATTTATTTTTTTATATCGGACTATTCAGTACTTCAAGTGTATTCCTATTTTAGTAATGTGGAGCATCTATTTTGGAAGGAGTGTGTATTATGTCAATATGGTGTTCACAATGTTAAAACATAATGAAAAATTATGTTATTGTTAATATTGTATTTAGGAAATGAGTAAAAATATTAGCATTGGGTTCTTTACAATTTGCAGAAATTGATTTAATAAATTTCTGGTATTCGAACTTAGGATGCTAAAGCAGTAACATTATTTCATATTCTTGAATTGAATATTGCCACATGCACTTTGCAGAATAGGAATTTAAAATTATTTTAAAAAAATACTGAATTATTTCCCAAAAAATTGTGAAACTATCTTCAACACATCTGTGCGCCATGGCCCCAAGGACATAAAACTTTTTGAGGGTCTGGAACCCTGTAGCGCAATACTGTGTGCCCTGATTGGGAGCTCATGATTAACGGTGCAGCAGTTATTGATTTTAATGTGGTACTTGTATCACTGGATCAATGGACCGGTTATATGACAGATGGTTTCGACATTGACGTGATGTGGCCATTATGGCGACTCTCGGATAACACTCGCCAGGAATCACTAGCGTCTCCCTGGTTGAAATAGCCAGGAAGTGCTTGCTACACTCTCAGACAAATTTAACGCATTCCCTGCTTTTAAAATTGGTCTCCCAGCAACCCAATTCATACGACAGTTTGGTGATAACTTTCTAACCACTTTTGCCCTCCTCACGACTCGGAGAACAATTCTGAAGAGAAATAAATGACAACATTTTTCCAATCGGCTGACTATAGACCTGTACCATGATGCTGGGGCCTTCTGCATGAGTACACAAGAGTAACTGTCAGCCTGGCCTCATACAGAGAGATACATGTCCCATACATTGGAATTGGCTGCAGAACCGTCAGCTAAAATTCTCATTTAAGCGATTTGCTAATTTGCATGCTGAAAGACTTTTGGAAATAAATTGTTCTCTCTTGCAAACATTGTGACATTTAGGTATTGATCATTTTTTTAACTCTGGCATTTCCAACTTTGTTTCCCAGCTGTTGAAAACAATATTCTTTTTGTCATGGATATCTGAGATTAACTCATGATTATGTCATGGCTAGCAAACTGCTGTTGATTATAGACTTGGCCCTTCTTGTTTGTATTGAAAATTGAATTTGAAAATCAAGATCTTGAAGGTGCATTTACAGGTGGATCAGATCAAATATTTAAATTTAATATTGCATTCCTGAACAAACAAATAAATAGATTTTACTTGGTTTTCTACTAGACATTATGACAGAACAAATGCTGTCTGGTTCACCATCCCCCTCAATGCCAGGTAATCACAGTCAAGTAGGGACTCAAAAACTGAATGAAAATCACTTTATGATTTGCTTGCCTTCAGTGACCCCAGATATCAACAAATAATGATATAGGAATATTTTATGAAAACTGATGAAACTTGAAGCCTGAACCCGCTTAAACTGTTCTCTGTGGCCAATAATGCCTACCTGTAGTATAAATTACACAGGTAAACAGTCGATAACGAGAATGTGCAAGATGAAAGGGGCAGGTGTAAATTGCCAACCCAGCATGCTATTTCCTGTCAAATATGAGTTAATGGCTCACCATTGATTATTACAGATATGAATATCAATGAAATCTATGACCATGTCAACAAATCTACAACTATGTCAGTGAAACCCACAACCCATAGGTCAATTTCAGACAGGAATAACGCTGAAAGAAAATGTCATTTGCCTTATATTTGTCAAGATTTGACCATTTGACAGTTTAATGTGCTTCTACACCCATGTCCTAATTTACATGATGCACTTTCAAAAGCATGAATCACAAAATTGGGGAGTTTTAATGAATTTTGACGGATAGATAGGCCTAGGGTGTTATTAAGGTTGTTGAGTTGTCAGATGTTTTTTACATGTCTTGGTTGTAATGAGTAGTTATTTGCATGAACTTGTAGAGCACAGCTAACCATGGTGCAGGTGGAAAGATTGAACAAAACAGCACTGATGCTTTCGAGATATTGTGAATCATTTTAACATTATGTTTATATAAAGAACCCTTATTCATTCAGATTCCATTTGGATTTACAATTAGTGAGTTATATTTCATTAATATTTCATAACAATAGTATGAGACTTGGTAGGGGCTACATTCTACAGTTTTTGAACTTGTGTTTTCGTTTGTCCCAAATTCCCCAATTTTGATGTATTTTGAATTGTTGTACGACTTGCATGTGCTGTCCCTGCACTTGTATGTGGTGTTCTGTTGTTGTAGTCTTACATGGAGGACCATCTGAAGAACCAGGACCGCCTTGACCAGGAGTGGGAGGCACTGTGTGCGTATGAGGCTGACCCCTGCGCCACTGCTGTCGCTGCCGACCCTTCCAACACTCGCAAGAACAGATATGGGGACATCCTACCCTGTACGTACATTGAAGTCATATTCACTTTCTTTTTGCAAACTAGGACAGATTTGTAATAAATTTGTCATTACAAATGACTCCATTCTGAACTTAACAAGGTGTGTCATAGTTATTTAGGATCTGCCCTGTGATTACAAAGTATATATTGCAGAAGTTACTGGGGTCTTTGAAGGCTATAACTGAAAATATATTTTAGGTAGGTTAGTGTTGGGTATGAGTTTCAAGTCTGTTTGGATTATGACACTTAGTATAATTAATATAGTCCAATGAGAATGAAATCTATTGAATAATGTATGATTGCTGTATCCAACAAGTTGTGATATGTCCGTACCATAGCGTTCTGGATGAGAACCGTCAGCCATTGATTGCACACACATCCTGTTAGACCAGCATCTGATTATCCTGAGGTATCGGATCTGATTATCGCGATGGCATCAGATCAACAGTATGCATGCACATGCATAATACATGACCACATTCAACTCAAAACCTCTATAAATCAAATGATTTGCAACTCGGAAAGAATGGGACATTGGCCAAACATTGCTTGCAGTTTCCTCAAGCTTTGATTATTCATAGACGAAACCAAAAACCTGTCACCGATCAGCAAGAGCTGTGCGCGCAATTACGCTGTTTATTTCACGTGTTCGGAAGTTTGCCGTGATCACGCACAGGAAGTCTCAGCCCTGTCGGCATAACAACAGGGGCAGCAAGTCGTTTGTCATTACCAATAACCAGTGGCTTTACATAACCTAGTCTTATCACTAATGAATCTAATTGATCAAGAACTCATTATTGAGTTGAGTCTCGTTTGTGTATTTGTTGACAGGATGGAAGTGCAACAAGATCTAGTTTGCTCAGCTTGCTGAATTCTTTATTCCAGAAATTATTTCTCTGAGATAAAGATTTGTAATTGATTTGATCTTGACTCATTCCCAACAGCTTGTCAATACTTGGAGTTTCTTTGGCAATGGTTTTCAGGAATATTGATAGAAAACATGGATTAGAAGTGAGGCAAATTATTTTTTTTCGAGAACAGGTTTACAAAGCTCTTGTTGTGTGACAGGTGAGACAGTTGAGCAGTTTTAGTGAAAAATATATTTGTACAGAGAAATCTAATTATTTAGTGCTATTTGTATCATGCTTTGAGTCATCAATGTCCTTCAAAGTAATCCTACATCACCCATCTCTAAACATTGATAGTGGGTGTCTCACCAAACACATGCAGTTGATTTCATGGCTAAGCATCTGAAGAGTTAACACGCCTTATTCTAATAACACTGAAACTGACATGTGAAAGATATGTTTATTATTGACAGTATATAGAGATAAATGTTGTTGTTTTTAATTTCATATGTAGGAATGTTTTATGATAACAAAAATGGGAATATATTATCGGTCTGAAAAATGTGAATATGTCATCATTGATTCAAGTTCAAACATCAAAAGCAAAACTTGGTGTCACAATTCTGATTTGCTGTATTTTTTATTACTGATTTGCTATGTATACCAAGTGCATTTTTTAATTACAAGTGTATATTTAGCTTCCCTGTAACCTCTCAGATGATGTTTAATGTACTGCTGCCCTGGGACTTTAGGTTTTTTCCACTGCTAAGATTAGTGTTTGATGTGAGACTTGAGAGGAGGTGTACTGTCCAAATGATGTCAGAATGTGTAATTCATTATTGCATTTAATAAATATCTCCCTCAATAATGTAAAATAATATAAGAATATTTTGTGAATTGATGCCAATATGGAAAAAAACCAAACTTTATTTTGTTTGGAAACTGAATCTTATTCTTTTATATGAAGCCTTCTGTTGTATTGTTTTTTGAGATCCTACACTTGAAATGCCATCTTCCAAGTAATGGTCCTTAAGAATTATTAATAAGAAATGCTTTGAATAAATTTCTATTGATGCATTCAGTCAAGGAGCAATATTGCTATTTTCGTCTTTCATGAAAATGAATTGAATACTTGTTTGAAATACTTAATGCTTTATAACATAATTCTATGCCCCAAATACTCAGTGTCTAGGCTAGCATTATTACAGAGCAGTAAACAGATCTTGCTTTGGCGGCCTACAACCATGTACAATGTCACTCCGAGGTCGCCAACAATGGAAATCCTTTCACCCCTACTCAGCTTTTCTTGGCATGTGAATATCGCAAAGAAAATTGCAAGGCTAGCGATAGATTATTACTTCTTTCTTGCCCAACTTGTATTATAGGCACGTAAAATGCCAAAAGGAAACAGAACATGGCCGATATTAGTTTTAAAACTAGCAGATACTTAGCCCTGGGCTACAGAAGGGGCTGCAGCATTCTAAGCAGTAGTTAATGGTCCAGTGATGCATATGATGGATGGGTCGTCTGTGACAGCGGCCAAGGGTTGCCTCCCAGTCAGTCAAGAGACACTCACTCTTTGCTTACAGTCCAGGGCCCACTTGCACAAAGCGATCTTAACGCTAAGACTATCGTAAGCCTATGTTAAATTATGGGAGTTACGATCATCTTAGCGCTAAGATCGCTTTGTGCAAGTGGGCCCAAGTCTGTTTGTGGGTATAGGGCTTATATTCATGACTAGCTAAGATATGCAAAACTACCATCCATTTAAATCTAAATGTGTTCAATCTTTATGTTGTTTATTCATTGTGAAAATGAATGCATCCATGCAGTTGCAATTAAATAATGTTTTATCAGTTTCTGTTATGATATAGCTGTTCTGTTATGGAAATGAGTGGTTGGTTATGCTGTTTTGGAATTACCTCTGATCTTTGAAAACAGTGTGATCAGTGTATTGATTATGGTCGGAACATTTTCATCTTTTGATGTTTCAAAGCAAACAAATTGGAACCAATAGTGATTTTGTTGCCAAAGTGTGTGTTGTGGTTTGAATTGATTTCAAATGTTTAAAAGGCTTTCCTATGACCATTCATGCATGGGGAGAAACAGTGGTAAATGTTTTGAAACATTTGTCTGAATATTTGTCTGAACTGGCATAATGATATCATGGTAAAAAGCAACAAACTGAATTGAAGATATTGTTCACAATCTTTTGACATCCAAGGATCCATCATTAGTAACTATAATTAAACAAAGAATACATGAAACCTCATTCAAACTACAGACTTGGCATCAAAGCATTCTTATTTTATTGGTGCACTTTGTTTTGACAGATGCACATGTAACATGCTTGGGCAATTTAGTGTATTTTCTCCTATCCAGTGTAGGAAAATGCATTACATTAAAAACTGATCATTTCCAAATTATTATTGAGGGTAAATGTCGGAGAAATTTCTGACTTAAATGTCTATTTCATTTTCAGATGACCACTCTCGTGTTGTCATTTCGACTGCTGCAAATGTCTCTGGATCTGACTACATCAATGCAAACTTCATCGTGAGTCATCATCTTTATTTTTTGTGAGAGAGAGAGAGAGAGAGAGAGAGAGAGAGGGAGAGAGAGAGAGAGTCCCCATTCCTTGTGCCAGGATCCACTGGTAGTGTGTTTGAATCACAGATTTGACTTGATTATGATCCTTAGTCTGACCTATTCTAACCCAGAATCTTCAAAGGGCCATTGTATGTTTCAATGACGTTACACAGTTATCTTTCTGGGTCTGTAAATTCCTTTTGAGTGGATTTGACTTGGCCGAAATTATTATTATTATTATTATTATTATTATTATTATTATTATTATTATTTGCTGAGCATACCAGGCCAAACAATAATATACTTGGGATTCATACTAGTGGTTGAAGTTGCAGAATGCATCAGCTGATTTAATGTTTCTGAAGTGAAAAAACGTGAAAATAATACTTTGTTCTCGATATACCCCTGTATAGCCCCTCCCAGTAGCCACCCAGTGAATGCTGATATAAGATTTACATACCCAGTTCCCAGTTAGATATGGACATTTATGGTAAACAGATTCCACATTGGCTCTATATCATGCCATGGAAATAAAGCATAGAACATAAGTAAGAAATATATCTAAATAAGTGTATATACTGAATGCGTGGCTAGCTCAATTGAATAATTCAAGTAAATGACTCCTTTCTGATTCCGTCTGTGTCTGAAGGCCCCCATATATTGGGGTTTTTCAGCTCAAGAGTGACTCTGATTGACTCCACTCAATTTTGTTGAGAAACATTTGTCAGACACATAGCAGATAATTTTCATCTCAAATTGTTGAAATCGTTACAATGTAGTGTCCTTGGAACCATCCTTGTTTCTGCTGAAAAGTGTGGATGTTTTAAGTATGATATTTACAAAGTACAATTGTATTAAGTAGACAATGCACATCTATGAAATAAAAAATGTGCGTGGTTTGCAATAAAGCATGTTTTGTTTGTTGTTTAACGCCACACTAAGCAATGTTCCTGCTATATGACGGTGGTCTGTAAATAATCAAGTATGGACCAGACAATGCAATGATTGACATCATGGATCTATACAGTTGGTATAGATGAGATGCAATCAACCAGGTTATCAAGACTAACCACTCAATCATTTATAAATAAGTTGCCTAGCATAGATTGCTTGGGACCTATATTCTTATCCAGAATCCATACATGTCAAAAAAAGAATCAATTAGTATGAAATAAGAACTATCATTGTCTAAAATAAACATGTTTTGTAATGTGAAACAAGCATAAATTAGCATATGTGATATCAAATTCATGTCAATATAATTTCATTCAATCTTTCTTTTAAATATTAACTACATCGGTCAAAGTTCGGTCAAGGCATTTGACCAAACCAATTTAACTCCTTGCCACAGTTGTGCGCATATTCTTGCAGACAATGCAGTATAATGCACCAACGTGGGACAATACCTGTACAAGCACCAGTCCATGAATTCTGTGATAAGGAATGAATAGCATCACTGTGCAATAAATAAATGATTTCTCTCGCTCTGTCAAAGCATTTTAACAGCCTAATGTATTTGATAATTACAGGATTGCGACAGAGATATAATTTATGAGTTTTATCTTCGAGTACTGGCATCTTTTAATTTTCAAAGACTTCTTAAGATTTGAGATAGAATTATGCCATCAGAGGAGGCCAATGGAGCATGTGATTGCTTCAGAGGAATCGACATAAAGTTCCTTGTGGGTTATGAGTTTGGCAGTTAATTGTCACTCTTGGCTTGGAAATGGCTGAAGATTTACTTGCCAGGTCAAATAGAGTTTAGATTGTTTCCATAAAATATCATAATATGATCCTTGGCAATATTTATTTCTGTTAACGTTATTAGATTATATTTTGAGTTATGAAATTGGGAGAACCATCTTTGGAATTCACATTAAATTGCATTGAGATTGTTTCTATTTTTAAGCAATATTGAATTACTGTACACATCATTCCAGATGTAGGTATGTAAGCATCAATGATCTGACAGTGGAAATTACCGTATGTAAAAGTTGACATTCTCGTGTGTGTGTGGCTGTTGTATTGCCCACATTGTTGGCATGACATAACACAGTGTTTGTCATTATCTAAGACTTCGGGCATGGTTTGTGTGGGGAAGAAGAAAACATATATGGGGCCAAAACATTTAAGATTAATTTATTTTGTTTCTTAAAATCATGAGCAGACATGACATTTTTAAGTACTTGGTAAGTTCCTGGAGTTTGGATATTTGATGTATTTGGAAAGAACAAGAGAACTTGGTCGGCCCATTATTTTCAACATTGATCAGTTTTATCCATAAATTTAGTCATATTTAATTTCTGATTGATAGAAGCAGAATTATTTATGAAAGGTTGTTTTACGGTCTACCAATTTAAATCTATGAAGAAAAGCAGCTCAATGAAAGCTCAAGCCTTAATATTACACAACACTAGGTGAGGGTATGTGATCACACGGATAGGGCCCTGACTGAGGATTTGTATCAGCCATGATCATCAACCCTTTGTACAAAATCCCACTGAATGTTGACCATCTCTACTCATGTGGGTCATGGGTTTGTTTCCCAGTACAAAAACATGAATGTTTCATGCGTCTGTTGTCCCTGGTTGAGAGCCTCAAAAAAGATTTTTCCCAAGGGAAAGTTTCCTCTCCATCCCAATCTGTGAGTTTCCCTCGGCATGAGGTATTACGACATTAGAAATATCACCTTGGATCAGACAGTGAATGCGTCTATTGCAACCGGATCGTAAAACGTGAGATAGATTGATACGTCCTTAATGTAGAGAGCTTGATCCCAAGACAGACGAGGACTGCACTATACTGCTTGCAGTGTATGCTGGGATAGTCATGAAAGGTGAAAATGGCGAGGGGGAAAGGTACTAACTCATCCATACTATCTGAATAATAACTTTTCTGTTAATTATCTTAAGTAATAAAAGTGTAACATTGTTATGAATAACCTATTTGTCAAATATTGCCTACAAGAAAATGGTTACATCATTATGATGTTGGGAAAATAGGTGGTCTTCAATATGTTTGAACATTGCGAAGATGTTTTTTAATTCTAAGTATATTGATCATGGTGCAACATTATTAAGTTTGAAATTTCTGTTTTTTGTCAAAAGAGTATATTGTGTTTCTTGTTTTGATTGAGAGTGCCTTTTATCCTACAGGTTTGAGAGCGGGCTCTGTTGAAAGTCCCCTCCTCACTTTCTTATCAAAGAGGCAGTGGAAGCCCAGCATCTGTTGATTGATAACACTTATGTATAAGGTTCACCTCATTCATAATATCCTCAGCATCCTTTTTAACAGTTTGTGGATGAAAGGCTTGAATATCTCCAGGAAGAATTCAAAGTAGAATTTGTTTCTTGTTAGAGATATATAGCCGTCTTGGAATTAAAGGTGGCTTACATGTGTTATTCAGTTTGTTGAAAGACTTTAGAAGCATATTCTAGGTTTTTAATTAAACACGTTTCTCATGATGAAATGTACTAACAATAGATTCATATTCAGTCATATTTTGAGTAGTAATTCATATTTTGTTTCTATTAAAGGATAAAGTAATATTTCCCGTGAAAGATTGATGGAGTTGAAGTCCTCTCATGTTGTACAATTAACAGAGGTGATTCCTTTGAGGCCTCAGGTTGTCCTCACATGAAACAATTTCAAACAATAGACTTCTAATTGAATATCAACACTATACATTTTTCAGTTAGATCTAAGAGTACAGAACGCTTAGATTGTTTTCTTAACAACTCTGATAAATATACTATAATTTGCCTATAAATATTTAAGTGATTCAGAATTCTTGATAGAAACAAATGAAATGTTTCGCGCCAAGTTGAGTGAGGCTGTTTGACTTGCCCCAGAGTGAACACAGATGGACCCTGTCCAAATTGATTCTCATTTATTTCCAACATGTCAGTCATTGAAGAAAATAACGCCACATCCACATTTTCAGACCATTCCAAAATCTTTTTGAAAAACCCGAGGTCAATCGATTAGGGTGATGTGACTATTGTTTGCCTGAAAACTACTTGTATGAATTAACTGTCTCCAGATTGATCTCGGCTTAAGCAAATAATTAATACGCACTCTCAACTGTTTGCCAAAGTGCCTGCCGCTTGGAATGGGGGGAAAATAAAACGTTCTTAAACATTTCATTTTTAAGCAAGAAATCACTCTCTGTCATGCCTTGACAGTCAGGTAATGTTTCGGAATGCTTTAGGAATCTTGGGTACCATTAGCATGTTGTGTTATGAGAAAGCAGAAAAAAATCATAATGACCCAATCATTTACAAAATATTTTCGCGGAAGTTGGTGGACCTTGAATGCCACTGGAAGACTAATATCCTGTGTAATGATGGATAGCCAGAGATATCACAGGTCAGTAAAGATTCAATTACAACAGAAACTGAATGGGCCTTGAGTCTAGTGTAAAGCTGAATGGATAAATGAATACCCTGAGAATACAGAGAAGTTATTTGTCATGTTGGAGAGATTTAAAATTCAGAATTCTATCCATAATACTGTGTTATGGGACGACTAATGCTATTCTTTTGGGCAGCATAGGATCTAATGCCACACTAACACTGTGTTAGAATAGTACATATGGTTTGCATAGAATTAATGAACGCCTTCTGCACAAGCAACTTTAGCCAAGGAATAATAGGATCAGATATTACATTTTCAGCATGTTCAGGGACGATCTACTAAACTGTGATTAGGTGTACCATAGCCCTTCTGGAACTAGATATTTCTTGCTGCCATTGTGGCAATTTCCATGTTTTGTAACATTCCTCATTTTTGTTTTACATCTTTACAAGTTTGAATGTGACAATGTTCGGTCATTACCATGGCTGACTGACAAGCATTCATTGGGTTTGGGGATAGCAGGACAGCAAGTGATCTGTGCAAGCTGGGCGTGAGCAGTGAATTACACTCAGTAATTAACTACTTGAACTGTTTTGAGATCAAATCTATTCTAGCATATAATATTTGTGTTATGTTTTGCTGAAAGATCAAATGTGTGATTGGTTAACATGCATACTGTTTGTTCTTGCAGACTGACCATGATCCCCGCAACCCTGCATTCATCGCTACCCAGGGGCCCCTCCCGCACACCGTAGCCGACTTCTGGCAGGTAATGCTGGGGACTAGGGGAATGATTGTTCAGAAACTACTTGATAGGTTGTCTTCAGTTATGTCAGAAAATCTATCAGTTATCTCTTAGAGGAATGGACTAGTAGAATTATTCAATTTATTAATTGATGAATTGGATTTTTGTTATTCAGTGATGAACAATGTAGAAACTATTCTTAAGGTAGAGGAAATTGGCTGTGGGTGTGTAATTTGGGGTTGGTGGTGTGACAACAGTTAACGCTTTAGTGGGTAATATTACATGATGTGTGTGTGGTCTGTGAACAGTTTAATAGTAAACATTACATGATGTGTGTGTGGTCTGTGAACAGCTTATTAGTAAACATTACATGATGTGTGTGTGGTCTGTGAACAGTTTAATAGTTAATATTACATGATGTGTGTGTGTTCTGTGTAGATGGTCTGTGAACTGTCACTGTTACCTGTCTATGGTCTGTGTAGATGGTCTGTGAACTGTCACAGTTACCTGTCTATGGTCTGTGTAGATGGTCTGTGAACTGTCACAGTTACCTGTCTATGGTCTGTGTAGATGGTCTGTGAACAGTCACAGTTACCTGTCTATGGTCTGTGAACTGTCACTGTTACCTGTCTATGGTCTGTGAACAGTCACAGTTACCTGTCTATGGTCTGTGTAGATGGTCTGTGAACAGTCACAGTTACTTGTCTATGGTCTGTGAACTGTCACAGTTACCTGTCTATGGTCTGTGAACAGTCACAGTTACCTGTCTATGGTCTGTGAACTGTCACAGTTACCTGTCTATGGTCTGTGTAGATGGTCTGTGAACAGTCACAGTTACCTGTCTATAGTCTGTGAACTGTCACAGTTACCTGTCTATGGTCTGTGTAGATGGTCTGTGAACAGTCACAGTTACTTGTCTATGGTCTGTGAACAATCACAGTTACCTGTCTATGGTCTGTGTAGATGGTCTGTGAACAGTCACAGTTACCTGTCTATGGTCTGTGTAGATGGTCTGTGAACAGTCACAGTTACCTGTCTATAGTCTGTGAACTGTCACAGTTACCTGTCTATGGTCTGTGTAGATGGTCTGTGAACAGTCACAGTTACCTGTCTATGGTCTGTGAACTGTCACAGTTACCTGTCTATAGTCTGTGAACTGTCACAGTTACCTGTCTATGGTCTGTGTAGATGGTCTGTGAACAGTCACAGTTACTTGTCTATAGTCTGTGAACTGTCACAGTTACCTGTCTATGGTCTGTGTAGATGGTCTGTGAACAGTCACAGTTACTTGTCTATGGTCTGTGAACAGTCACAGTTACCTGTCTATGGTCTGTGTAGATGGTCTGTGAACAGTCACAGTTACCTGTCTATAGTCTGTGAACTGTCACAGTTACCTGTCTATGGTCTGTGTAGATGGTCTGTGAACTGTCACAGTTACCTGTCTATGGTCTGTGTAGATGGTCTGTGAACAGTCACAGTTACCTGTCTATGGTCTGTGAACAGTCACTGTTACCTGTCTATGGTCTGTGTAGATGGTCTGTGAACAGTCACTGTTACCTGTCTATGGTCTGTGTAGATGGTCTGTGAACTGTCACAGTTACCTGTCTATGGTCTGTGTAGATGGTCTGTGAACAGTCACAGTTACCTGTCTATAGTCTGTGAACTGTCACAGTTACCTGTCTATGGTCTGTGTAGATGGTCTGTGAACAGTCACAGTTACCTGTCTATGGTCTGTGAACTGTCACAGTTACCTGTCTATGGTCTGTGTAGATGGTCTGTGAACAGTCACAGTTACCTGTCTATAGTCTGTGAACTGTCACAGTTACCTGTCTATGGTCTGTGTAGATGGTCTGTGAACTGTCACAGTAACTTGTCTATGGTCTGTGTAGATGGTCTGTGAACTGTCACAGTAACTTGTCTATGGTCTGTGTAGATGGTCTGTGAACTGTCACAGTAACTTGTCTATGGTCTCTGAACAATCACAGTTACCTGTCTATGGTCTGTGTAGATGGTCTGTGAACAGTCACAGTTACCTGTCTATGGTCTGTGTAGATGGTCTGTGAACTGTCACAGTAACTTGTCTATGGTCTGTGAACAGTCACAGTTACCTGTCTATGGTCTGTGCAGATGGTCTGGGAACAGGGCAGTGTGGTCATCGTGATGCTGTCCAAACTGACGGAGACCGGAACAGCCATGTGTCATCGCTATTGGCCCGAGGAAGGAAGCGATCTCTACCACATCTATGAGGTAGGACTTTAGTAGAATACAAATTCATCATATATGTTCAAATAACACTAATTCTGATTCGGCCACAATTCATATTGTGTGTAAACTAGCAATTAGAAACACTCTTATTCTCTTTTGCAGCTGTTTCTATATTAGAATTTATGGTAATCATAGCAACAGAAGCTGATATGGAAACCTAACCGACACACCTGGCGGTGAAGCCATTATGTATACTACACGCTACTTGACTCAAATACTTGGTGGCATCTGCCTCCATGACACATCCACAAGCACTAGTTGTGTTTGGTCCCTACATAGCTTGTGTTAGTCTTCAGATTGTATATATTTATTTGTGTTTGCAACAGGTACACCTTGTGTCGGAGCACATCTGGTGTGATGACTACCTGGTTAGGAGCTTCTACCTGAAGAACCTGCAGACAAACGAGACTCGCACTGTCACCCAGTTCCACTTCCTCACCTGGCCCAACCTCTGCGTACCTGGATCAATCAAAGCCCTCCTGGACTTCCGCAGGTACACCTTGCACAACTAGTCCATGCACACGCACACACACTTCCTCACCTGGCCCAACCTCTGCGTACCTGGATCAATCAAAGCCCTCCTGGACCTCCGCAGGTACACCTTGCACAACTAGTAGAAGAACACGCACACACACACACACTTCCTCACCTGGCCCAACCTCTGCGTACCTGGATCAATCAAAGCCCTCCTGGACTTCCACAGGTACACCTTGCACAACTAGTACACGCACACGCACACGCACACGCACACGCACACACACTTCCTCGCCTGGCCCAACCTCTGCGTACCTGGATCAATCAAAGCCCTCCTGGACTTCCGCAGGTACACCTTGCACAACTAGTCCATGCACACGCACACACACACACACTTCCTCACCTGGCCCAACCTCTCAGTACCTGGATCAATCAAAGCCCTCCTGGACTTCCGCAGATACACCTTGCACAACTAGTACATGCACATGCACACGCACACGCACACGCACACGCACACGCACTTCCTCACCTCGCCCAACCTCTGCGTACCTGGATCAATCGAAGCCCTCCTGGACTTCCGCAGGTACACCTTGCACAACTAGTACACGCACACGCACACGCACACGCACACACACTTCCTCGCCTGGCCCAACCTCTGCGTACCTGGATCAATCAAAGCCCTCCTGGACTTCCGCAGGTACACCTTGCACAACTAGTCCATGCACACGCACACACACACACACTTCCTCACCTGGCCCAACCTCTCAGTACCTGGATCAATCAAAGCCCTCCTGGACTTCCGCAGATACACCTTGCACAACTAGTACATGCACACGCACACGCACACGCACACGCACACGCACTTCCTCACCTCGCCCAACCTCTGCGTACCTGGATCAATCGAAGCCCTCCTGGACTTCCGCAGATACACCTTGCACAACTAGTACATGCACACGCACACACACATACGGGCGCACCCTAGGTGCCACTGTCTGTTCATGTCTTTATTCCTGAGAAACACGGGAATGCGTTGGTAACACAACCACACGAAAGATTTTTAAGAAGAAATGAAAATTCTTACACCTGACTAGTGTGTGATTATTGTGTTGAAAAAAGATTATTTGCCTGAGAACCATTTGCCACTTTTCATCCACATCATTCATTTGAAAATGTCTTAACAGGAAATGTTTTTGAAAATTTCACCCAAACATATTTTCACATGTAACCTACCATCAAAATGTAACACATTCTTTGCAAAGGATCGATAGAATAATAATCGTATTTTACATTAAAATATGATATGAGGTAAATTCTGGTTTGGAACTTATACTTCATTATAATGAATTAGAACAATAAAGGCCTGAAAGTAACTTCATATGCAACATATGCTGCAGTTAAACCTGATATCCTTGATAGAACCATATGGTTCCAAGTGCTGATACCACTAACAGTGGCAGTATTTGAAACAAACAGTGGCACTTGTAGATAGTTTTGACTTAATTAGAAGGTTGTTGCTTGAATAAATTCTCATAATGACACATTAGGGAATAAGTTAGAATACCATTCATTATACATTGTGCTCAGGTTACATGCTGCCTATTAGTCTAAGGCATAGTTTCACTGTGCAGAGTTGCATCCCTTAGTTGCACCAGGATTTGATGACATCGAATACCAGATTCATCCTGATTGTGAATTTTGGGCTGTGAGCAATATAATCCTTGCTCATGTGTTTCTTCAAAATGGTCAACGTTTATGACCTGTGTCACTTAAGGCATTCCGCCAACAATTAGCTTACTTGCTTTTCAAAGGAGCATTCAAATCAAATCTCTTATACACTCAGATACCCTGTGAAGATCCAGGTTAAAACTGGTCTTCAGCAACCTATGCTTGTCATTAGAGGCGATGGAAGGGACTGGTTGGTCAGTTTGCTGACATGATTCATACATGTCAGGGTATCCCAGTTGTGTACATCGATGCTCTTGACGTGAAGCACTGGATTATCTGGTCCACACTCATTAACAGACAGCTATCATATAGCTGGGATATATGTGCAAAACACACACAAAACAAATACCCTTTAAAAGTGAGTAATTTGCATATGGAGTCACTTGCGAATGGTTTATGAATATGACCATGTACCCTGTTTTGTTGGTTTGCGTGTATTGCTTTTAACCTGTAACATATATAGAACATCATTTAACATGGCTACTAACTTGACTTCTAGTGTTTTCATTGTATTACTAATAACTATTTTCCTGTGTTTTCACAAGTGTAGATTAAAATATATAAGAATAATTTGATATTATTTCAGTAATGAGCAAAACATAAACTATAAAAAAGCTATTAAAGTGTTGTGTTTCGATAGTAACATATCCAGAGCCAAGATATTTTTCTGTTAAAACTGAAAAATGTTTGTGAAAATCAAGTAAAATTCAAATATAGAGTCAAAGTCTGTACAATTGGTATTTATAATATGCTCACAACGAGGCACATTATACATATATATCAAACTGTGACACTTGCATATGTTGAACAATTAAATCAATACAATTGGCATAAAATACATTTATTTCTAAGAATTGAATATTCAGAAAGGGTTATCTGGATGATAATCTGACATATTCTCCCAGCCACCTTTTCTCATTTATGTGTATGACTCACATACATAAAGTGTGACAATGGAATTCTAAATCACCCTCAGTAGGATAGTAACATCTGGTAGAAGTGAATATTAATTATCATAATGTTCTGAAAGGGAAGATGTTTATACACAAATGAGTGTTCAGTGATGATGGGTGTGGAGTTACGCTGTCGTGTTGTGTAGTGATAGTTTGGAAAGGGAGTTGTTAAATGATTTATTGCTCAACAATATCTGGTTGTATTCTCCTGACAACATGTTATTGTGCCTTTCTCTTGGTTGAGGATCCTTCTCATGCTGTTATGGCTGTTGCAGATTATTTTCTTGTGTATCTGGAGTTTGGTTAAAAATGTTTAAAGTAATAGTTAGGAAATATTATATCATTGCTGACAGTTGCACTAAATATGCATTAAAACAATATTGGTAGTGGGACAATTTGATGTCCTATAATCATCTTAGTTCTTTCTATTTCTTTATCTAATGACCAGTTTTCTGCCTCACTATTGTGGTTGGATCTGACACCTGCCATGACAAACTAACAGTTGCTGCCTAACTCTGACATGCTACACTGCTATCCTCCCAGGCAGCTTTTGTGATTTAGCAATTGTACATTAGACAAATTGCATAGTCACAAAAGTGATCGGGGGGCTGGCTCTGCTACTAACAGCTTGGTGATGGACTTGCACTGCAAGTGCAGCTCGTGTACTCTGCATATACTAATTACATGGCAACTACTTATCTATCTGTGACTTATTTCTCATGGTCTAATGCTGGTTATGTTTGGTGTAACTTATATGCTACTTACATAGAAACTACTATTGATGATTCTAACTGCTGCTGGTTTCCTGTTATGTGTATTTCAATGGTTGCATCTATGTGCTATTTGCACGTCAAATATTCAAATAAATTCAAAGGGATGGCTATTAGTTGTTGTTTCATATGTATCTTTTCAGGATGGAGTACATGTATGTAGTGTATCTCCAGGTTACTATGTAGTGTATCTCCAGGTTACTATGTCGTGTATCTCCAGGTTACTATGTAGTGTATCTCCAGGTTACTATGTAGTGTATCTCTAGGTTACTATGTAGTGTATCTCTAGGTTACTATGTAGCATATCTCCAGGTTACTATGTAGTGTATCTCCAGGTTACTATGTAGTGTATCTCCAGGTTACTATGTAGTGTATCTCTAGGTTACTATGTAGTGTATCTCCAGGTTACTATGTCGTGTATCTCTAGGTTACTATGTAGTGTATCTCCAGGTTACTATGTAGTGTATCTCCAGGTTACTATGTAGTGTATCTCCAGGTTACTATGTAGTGTATCTCCAGGTTACTATGTAGTGTATCTCCAGGTTATTATGTAGCGTATCTCTAGGTTACTATGTCGTGTATCTCCAGATTACTATGTCGTGTATCTCTAGGTTACTATGTAGTTTATCTCCAGGTTACTATGTAGTGTATCTCTAAGTTACTATGGAGTTGCTCTAGGTTACTTTGGAGTTGCTCTAGGTTACTTTGGAGTTGCTCTAGGTTACTATGGAGTTGCTCTTGGTTACTATGTAGTATAGATGCCTGTTGTTAGGATTAGATGTTTAAGGTTTCTTGAGTGGAAGTTGACGGTGTCAGTCTTTGTTATATCTGTGTTCCTGGGTTGTTGATGTAGCTGGGACAGAAATGAATGGCTGCAGCTGTGCACTTCGGAATTCCATGTACAGAAGTTTAATGCAGATTAATGCAGGGTGCAGCTGTTTGTAGACACTGTTTATTGTTGTATGTGACATGCAAGAGATTGGACAATGTAGAACAATATAATACCTGATACTATGTGCTACTTGTCAGTATTCTAAGTTTCTGGTGTAAATGCTTGTTAATAATCATCCATTCATATGCCTTTTGTTTGTAAATGGAATGTATTTGTATTCTGAATGATGTTTACCCAAACTTGCTTCATGTTTTATCGCCAAGGTAACAAATTGAACATATATTAACTTACGCTTGAGGAATGAACCTGGGCTGCATTACGTCTCCCTGCCCTTGTATTGTTGGTGTGAAGGCTAGGATGGGTGTGGGAGAAGTGAGGTTATATTTCAGGTCAAAACATACAGGAGTACAACTGGAAGGAATCTCTTGTGCTCACTGAAGCTTTAAACAATCAAAATGTACAAACCTAAATTTAAACTTTTTGTTTGTTTTACATTGTGAAAAGTAGTCTTAAAAAGCAACTGGGAAGACCTGGACTGGTGCTTCTGTAAGCAACTGCTATCAATAGAACACACATGTGCCCAGTTATAATCAGATATCATGGGCCCTGGTTTTAATAGTTTAATTCAAATATCAGAACCAATGAATTATTCATTTAATGATATAATTATAAAATTGTAACTATATCTAACACTAAAGCATCATTTTTTTCACCAATCTAATGTGTTTTCAATTTGTGGCATGTATGGAAATTGATTTTGTGGACATGTAGATGTGAACCACTGAGAAGACTCAACTAATCTGTTCCAGGTTCTGTAGCATTGACAACAGTGTATGGTTACCAATTACATCACAAACTGGCTCCTTACATACGGAATGCTCACATATCCTTGTTTGCTTATTCTATCAATTAGGATTATGGAATATGAGAGACTGAGACTGTTTTGTTCGAATAGTTTGATAAAACATTCCTGTAAAGAACTTGCTTCCTGTCAGACAGAAGGATATGGTATTGAAAATTAATATCCTTTTAAGATCAGTTTTCAAATTCATTAGTGGGAGAAATAATGAGAATAAACTTTTTTCTGCGTTATGTAAGCCAAGAAATATATTAGAGATTCTTCTTCAACCATTTATAGAAATATTTTACAAATTATCCTATCTTATTTTTTGTGTTGACTTTTACTATAACCAATCATTGTCATGAAATGAACGTGGAAATTGACATAGTCGCACATTTAATTGGGGTCAGATTGCATGGCAGGACCAGCTATTCTCATCTAGACCCTAGATTGATTCCAACATGCCAACGAAACAAATCGAAACCCAGTCGCTAATTGGCTTTGTGGGAATTCCATCTTTAACTTTTTATCTCACAAGTCAAAAGAGTTCTTTCCTGGCTTATTTTTCTATGAAACAAACCGGCACATTTTTCGTCACTGTCGGCCATCTTGCCATCTCCGTGGCCACAACAGCAAATGTGCTTGGCCAGCCTTCTTGCCATCTCCGTGGCCACAACAGCAAAAATGCTTGGCCAACACCCAGTGACATAAATCTAAATCAAGAATCAGGTTTTTAAAACGTCAGGTTTCCGGATCCCTCCTTTCCTAATGTTCCAAGATTTTCCATTTCCGAGAAGCTCTCTTCTTGACAAGAATTTATTATGGTAGTCCAAGCTCTCCATTAACTGCGGACATGCTGTTGATATAGCTAGCCCTTAATGCCCAGCTATTGAAATGGAGGCACCCAAATCGAGACCCTGTGATTTGACTTCATTAAGTGTGGAAATGCCTATAAATCTACATTAGCTGTGGTCTGCAAAGTCCCTGCAAATGAGGACGAGTGAGGACAGGTCATGTAAGTCCTCATGCTACACTAGGAGTCAATGTTCTGACAGTTTGCACTTAATGTAAAACTGTAGACTCCCCACACTCTGATGATCAGGGTCTGATCATAGGGCAATCTGTCAAAGGGAAGAACTAGCAGTTTTCTGTCTTTCTTTCACAAAATATTTTTTAATTCATTCAAAGGTCAGCTGTATGATAATTCAAATTTTATTCATTTGTTCAGATCAGTTGATGGGATAACTTAACAAGAAAACATAAGTTACCGTATTCGACGTAATAAGCGCCCCGCTCTAATAAGCGCCCATGGCGATATTTGCTAATATATTGGCAAGTGAACAATCCCAATTAGCATCCCTTCCGATTGATCAATGTACACAAGACTTATTTATTCGTGTATAATACGCACTCGTGTGTTATATGCCCCCTTAATTAATCTGGAAAAATATATCTGTCGTATATAAACAGTTCAGACCGTCAGCATAAATCACGAAATTTATCTTTCAACTCTGTTTTTTTCCACCAAAATAATATTCTAATAAGAGCCCCCTATTTCTAATTTTGAGAGCGCCCTGGGCGCTTATTACGTCGAATATGGTATGTTTAATTTGTTTTGTCAGAATAGATCAACTCATGTATATTTATAGATACCAGTAAATAAGAACACAACATTGGCACCGGTGTAAAGTAAAGTCTATATAATATCTTTACATGGCATTCAAAGCTGTAGTATCAGTGAAGACAAGACTCTTCCTACTCTAATGACTCTTTCACTGTACTGTGTTGGGTATAAATACTGCAGCCTTTATCAAGCAAGTGAGCGAGGCAGTGGTGACTATACTGGAGAGTCACTGTGAATGAATGAAAGAAGCTGAAATCTTAACTTAGTCATGTCTTCAATGTTTTATATATATTTAGACAAATAGTTGTGAACTTATCAGTTGAGAGAATGTACTGGTCAATAATAATTTGTCTGAGGTACCCTGGCCTCACCACTGACCAGAAGAGCAATATGCCACTTTCCACAAAACAATTCAGCCTGAATTTTCATGTTTGCTATTCATGTGTTGCACTCATAATCACTGCAACAAAATCCTTGAAGGCTCTACAGTGAATCATTTGGGAACTGAATCATTGATTTTCTTTAATTAGGATTATTATGTGGCCCAAAGAGCAATACTTACAGCCAATCACATGTGTTATCACATCCAAGTGCGTATGATACATGGCGCGACTTTCAGCTACTTACCTGGAAGCTGAGCTAATGGCTCTGCAGACCAGTCTGCCAGGCCAACTCATGTGATGATGGCACTATAATTACCACAGTCCCCATGTGTGGGCAGTTTGGCCGAGATTATCGTAGCACAGACAATATTACCAGGTGCAGGTGGCCTCACAAGTGACCACAGCAGTCAGGGCAACAAGCAGCCTTTGTGTGAAAGTGTTAAGAAATGTTGCAACTGAAAAGTCATTTGCTGGGTTTTTTTTGTCATTAAATATGGGTTAGTGTATTTTTGGTGGGTTAATCAGTATATATTTTGTATTTTGACCAGAGATGATCAAATATAGCATTTGTGGGTTTTATACAGATTTTACTTATGAAGAAACAAGAAAATATATAGGTATGCATGTTAATTTTTTGTGTGGTTAAAAGACTCACGGTGGATACTGAAAGACATGCAATGAATCAAACCAATAATTTATCTATTCATTTTGTCATTACATATGCTGCAAATGTCACTATATATAAGCCATTGGTGATTATAATAAATGACACTATATATAAGCCATTGGTGATTATAACCAATGTCTCAATATATAAGCCATTGGTGATTTTACAAATGTCACTGTATATAGCCATTGGTGATTATAACAAATGTCACTATATATAAGCCATTTGTGATTATAACAAATGTCTCAAGGTATTGGTGATTATAACAAATGTCACTATATATAAGCCATTGGTGATTATAACAAATGTCACTATATATAAGCCATTGGTGATTATAACAAATGTCTCAAGGTATTGGTGATTATAACAAATGTCACTATATATAAGCCATTGGTGATTATAACAAATGTCTCAAGCCATTGGTGATTATAACAAATGTCTCAATATATAAGCCATTGGTGATTATAACAAATGATTTTTTAATCATGGTTTTATTATTTCAGTTGGTCATTACACCAATATTGTATCATTGATATTTCTGGATCATTTTGGTTTGTGTGTGGGAGTATGAGTTGTGAACATGTTGCACAGACGGGGTGTTGCTTTAACGGACATAAGTTGGCCCTCATGTGGTGTGTGTGTTTCACGTTGCAGGAAGGTGAACAAGTCTTATAGAGGTCGCTCCTGCCCCATTGTGGTTCACTGCAGGTAAGTAGATTTCTATTTAGGGCTGTAAATTTGTGTTTTAATGTAAAGCAGTAACAATCATTTCATATCTTAAGAACTAGCATTGATATTTTATTTGATCTACCATGTATAGTTAACGCTGTTAATGCTTCTCAGTAGGCCTGTATCTATCAATGCATTGCAGTTGACAATGGCCTGATAGCAGTACATTAATGACAGGTTAAGATATCATTAGTTAACCTCATTGAAGATGTAATAAAGTTTCAAAAACAGCTGTAAAGATTTACTTTTCTATGCATTTGATCCAGTATACTCACTGGCATCCATTCCAAACCCTTTCACAATTTTATATCAGAAATTAGTCGAGATGCCTCTCTCACTCAGTAACAGTTTCCACAGCAACCTGCTGAATCTGATACTTGGCAAACGTGTGAAGATTTGTCATCATGTTAAGTAATGCTCGGAAAACGAAATTGCAGGATGACACAGCTAGGAACTTCTCAAGCTTCTCTGTTACCCAACTAAAACTGACCTGGATAGTCGCCCCTGCTGCTCAGTATCTTACACACAACAGGAGAAGGATCATTGTTCAGCTTTCAGCAGTATTTGACTGACATTTCATTTCACTGGAGATTAAGTTTGACAATTTCTTCATTTTAGTGATGGATGTGGACGGACTGGAACCTATTGCCTCATCGACATGGTCTTGAACAGAATGGCTAAAGGTACATATTTTATATATATATTTTAGAATGGAACTATCAATCGTGGTGGTTAAAACTACATACATGTATATTAAAACAGTTAATAAATCTGCAGCAAGAACATATGGGGAGTCTGAGACAGTTGGAGTGGTTACACTGCTTCCAGGGTATGGAACACTTGAAGGTCTGCGAGGTCAAGGTTCAGATGCTCACACACTTTCATGATAAAGAGCTCAGTGATATTGCTGACTGGTGTGAAACAATGTTCAGTATTGCAGGTAATCTAGAACATATATGAAGAGATTCTGTGTGTTTGTTACAGGTGCAAAGGAGATAGACATGGCTGCCACCCTTGAACACATCCGTGACCAGAGGATGGGTATGGTGAAAACTAAGGTAAGGGAGACAACTCTTACTAAGCCTCATATTTATCTCCCCTTGAATACAACTGAAATGTTTCACATTTTACTGTTTATAATAGCAACACATAAATAATTATTTGAATGTAAAGATTGGGATTTTTAAATAAGATCAGTTGATATTTTCCAAGTTGCATGAATATTTTGACTTGATTATATTACAAATTTTACCGAATGTTAACTGCACTGGTTTGTAGTTGATACTTGTGACAGGAAGAATGCATATGATATTTATATGAGTGTATAACTATGAATTGTTTCAGAACATATTTTTATATGTTTATGTGTTTATCTAAAAATATTTGCTTATCATTTTTTTTTTTTTTTCTGTTCCTAGGAGCAGTTCCAATTTTCCCTGGCAGCTGTCGCAGAAGAGGTGCATGCAATTCTGAAAGCCCTACCACAATGAGTACTGAACACGTTACACGCAAAACTAAACTACCGACTCACAGACCAAGATACATAACTATACCCACCATGGTTTGTCAACAGAATAGGTGCTGTTGTCCTAGTACCTGACACACTGAAAAATGTCTTCAGTTAAATCTCACCAGCAGGGTCGAGAACTGTGGTCAACACAAGATGGGTGAGCTCCATCATCAATGGGTAGACTGTATTGAACAACGGGGTGCTGAACAGCCTGTTGTTTTTATGACAATTACGAGAATTCTTGAAATATTCTCACCAAGTACTTAAGTGTTTTACAAGGTAGCACTCTTATCTACTTAAAGCAGGTGATCATGTTATTTTGAAATCGACTGGTACTTTAGATTCTCTATAGAAATTATTTCCGTTTTTGATGTCAAGAAATAACTGATTTAATGTAATATTTCTTTCAACACTGATCAAGGAGTTGGAGATGAAAAATATCAACTAGATGTATCCTTAATTTGTAGCCACCCCATGCTTGATGTTATTGTTTTAATATTGTTATCTATTTTGGATGTGTTGAACAACCCTGTAGGCATCCCCCCATGTCATCAGCGGTCTATACTATTCAAGGTATGTCATGTCAATCAGTGTCCGATTGCAACATCTCTCATGTGGACTGTGTCATGGTAATCAGTATCATGTTAGTATCATCATTCAAGTATATTATTTATTTTTGAAATTTTATTTTTATTTAAAGTATTTTAAGATAATTTACGAACATTGGAAAATTACCAAATACAAATGCAAGTGCAATATCTTTTGTTCATGTACCATTGTTTATTATTTTCATTCCTCAGTAGTTTTTAGGAGTTTTCGATTTTCTTTTTAGAGATATTCAACATATTGAGTATCAAAAGTCTTGCACTCAAACAATCATTAAATTTGATAACGTGTTTTTGACAACTTTCAAGATTCTGTGAAAATATATTTTCCATAATGATCTGAACTTTTCTTATTTTTCTGAAAATAGAGCATTATTTACTGTTGTTTCTCTGGTCGTTGATGCATTATGAAAGTGATATCAAATACAAGGATAAGCAGATTAACACTGCAAAGACAAATCTGCATATACATGAAATTGAAACATTTGGGTTTATTCACAAAGACAAGAAAAAATGTCAAAATATATCAAAACATATGTGGAAGATGAAACAACTCCTCAGTCAACTTTCCCACAACAATGTCACCTGTTTCCCTTGCAAATGGTTATAAAGTAATTATTCTGTTGATCCTCTTCAAGTAACGTATGTTGTTCTGTTACGTTTTGTTACTCTATGAAATAAATTTTGTGATAAAAGGGAGACAACCCTTGTTTGACTAATGATGTAAAGGACTGTGACCTCTTTTCCACGCTGCTGTGATCATGTTGAATTTCAATATAATTTGACTTGGATATCTACTTTGAAAGGCTCTTCTCAATGGAAATACACAATATCCATGATAATTATATTTTTGAATTGTGATATATACATATTATATATATATTTATTCTCAGAGTGTCTGAGCCTGTTGATTTGAAGAAGTCTATGTGTCTATAACTCTAATATCTTTCACTAACTTTGAGCCCCTAATTGTCAAACTGTTGTAGTCATTGTCATCTAGTGGGATTGTTTTTGTGTAGACTTTTGTTGTCAATAAATGCTCACAAGCTGCAAAACTTGAACAAAGATATGTTTGTTATGTATTCAAAGCCATTTATATGATTTGATGGTGTAAATATGCAAAGGATGTGTCTCAAACAACAGTGTCTTACTAGAGAACACACCATTCACACACGACAAGGGTAATGTGTCACAGCAGTGTCTCACTACACCATTCACACACAACAAGGGTTATGTGTCATACAGCAGTGTCTCACTACACCATTCACACATGACAAGGGTTATGTGTCATGCAGCAGTGTCTCACTACACCATTCACACACACAAGGGTTATGTGTCACAGCAGTGTCTCACTACACCATTCACACACGACAAGGGTAATGTGTCATGCATCAGTGTCTCACTACACCATTCACACACACAAGGGTGGTGTGTCATGCATCAGTGTCTCACTACACCATTCACACACACAAGGGTGATGTGTCATGCATCAGTGTCTCACTACACCATTCACACACACAAGGGTGATGTGTCATGCATCAGTGTCTCACTACACCATTCACACACACAAGGGTGATGTGTCTCATGCAGCAGTGTCTCACTACACCATTCACACACACAAGGGTGATGTGTCACAGCAGTGTCTCTCTACACCATTCACACACACAAGGGTGATGTGTCAGACAGCAGTGTCTCACTACACCATTCACACACAACAAGGGTGATGTGTCATGCAGCAGTGTCTCACTACACCATTCACACACACAAGGGTGATGTGTCATGCAGCAGTGTCTCACTACACCATTCACACACAACAAGGGTGATGTGTCATGCAGCAGTGTCTCACTACACCATTCACACACAACAAGGGTTATGTGTCATGCATCAGTGTCTCACTACACCATTCACACACAACAAGGGTTATGTGTCAGACAGCAGTGTCTCACTACACCATTCACACACACAAGGGTGATGTGTCATGCATCAGTGTCTCACTACACCATTCACACACAACAAGGGTTATGTGTCATACAGCAGTGTCTCTCTACACCATTCACACACAACAAGGGTTATGTGTCAGACAGCAGTGTCTCACTACACCATTCACACACACAAGGGTGATGTGTCACAGCAGTGTCTCACTACACCATTCACACACACAAGGGTGATGTGTCACAGCAGTGTCTCACTACACCATTCACACACAACAAGGGTTATGTGTCAGACAGCAGTGTCTCACTACACCATTCACACACACAAGGGTGATGTGTCACAGCAGTGTCTCACTACACCATTCACACACACAAGGGTGATGTGTCACAGCAGTGTCTCACTACACCATTCACACACACAAGGGTTATGTGTCAGACAGCAGTGCCTCACTACACCATTCACACACACAAGGGTGATGTGTCATGCATCAGTGTCTCACTACACCATTCACACACACAAGGGTTATGTGTCAGACAGCAGTGTCTCACTACACCATTCACACACACAAGGGTGATGTGTCGTGCAGCAGTGTCTCACTACACCATTCACACACAACAAGGGTTATGTGTCATGCATCAGTGTCTCACTACACCATTCACACACACGAGGGTTATGTGTCAGACAGCAGTGTCTCACTACACCATTCACACACACAAGGGTGATGTGTCATGCATCAGTGTCTCACTACACCATTCACACACACAAGGGTTATGTGTCAGACAGCAGTGCCTCACTACACCATTCACACACACAAGGGTGATGTGTCATGCATCAGTGTCTCACTACACCATTCACACACACAAGGGTGATGTGTCACAGCAGTGTCTCTCTACACCATTCACACACACAAGGGTGATGTGTCATGCATCAGTGTCTCACTACACCATTCACACACACAAGGGTTATGTGTCATATAGCAGTGTCTCTCTACACCATTCATACACACAAGGGTGATGTGTCACAGCAGTGTCTCACTACACCATTCACACACACAAGGGTTATGTGTCATGCAGCAGTGTCTCACTACACCATTCACACACAACAAGGGTTATGTGTCATGCATCAGTGTCTCACTACACCATTCACACACACAAGGGTTATGTGTCAGACAGCAGTGCCTCACTACACCATTCACACACACAAGGGTGATGTGTCATGCATCAGTGTCTCACTACACCATTCACACACACAAGGGTTATGTGTCAGACAGCAGTGTCTCACTACACCATTCACACACACAAGGGTTTTGTGTCACACAGCAGTGTCTCACTACACCATTCACACACAACAAGGCTTATTTGTCATACATCAGTGTCTCACTACACCATTCTCACACAACAAGGGCTTATGTGTCACAGCAGTGTCTCACTACACCATTCACACACAACAAGGGTGATGTGTCATGCAGCAGTGTCTCACTACACCATTTACACACACAAGGGTTATGTGTCACAGCAGTGTCTCACTACACCATTCTCACACAACAAGGGCTTATGTGTCACAGCAGTGTCTCACTACACCATTCACACACAACAAGGGTGATGTGTCATGCAGCAGTGTCTCACTACACCATTCACACACAACAAGGGTTATGTGTCAGACAGCAGTGTCTCACTACACCATTCACACACACAAGGGTGGTGTGTCAGACAGCAGTGTCTCACTACACCATTCACACACAACAAGGGTGATGTGTCGTGCAGCAGTGTCTCACTACACCATTCACACACGAAAAGGGTTATGTGTCATGCAGCAGTGTCTCACTACACCATTCACACACGAAAAGGGTTATGTGTCATGCAGCAGTGTCTCACTACACCATTCACACACAACAAGGGTGATGTGTCGTGCAGCAGTGTCTCACTACACCATTCACACACGAAAAGGGTTATGTGTCATGCAGCAGTGTCTCACTACACCATTCACACACAACAAGGGTGATGTGTCATGCAGCAGTGTCTCACTACACCATTCACACACAACAAGGGTGATGTGTCGTGCAGCAGTGTCTCACTACACCATTCACACACGAAAAGGGTTATGTGTCACACAGCAGTGTCTCACTACACCATTCACACACACAAGGTTTATGTGTCATGCAACAGTGTTTCACTACACCATTCACACACAACAAGGGTTATGTGTCATGCAGCAGTGTCTCACTACACCATTCACACACAACAAGGGTGATGTGTCGTACAGCAGTGTCTCAATACACCATTCACACACAACAAGGGTTTATGTGTCATACAGCAGTGTCTCACTTCACCATTCACACACAACAAGGGTTATATGCCATGCAGCAGTGTCTCACTACACCATTCACACACAACAAGGGTGATGTGTCATGCAGCAGTGTCTCACTACACCATTCACACACGAAAAGGGTTATGTGTCACACAACAGTGTCTCACTACACCATTCACAAACAGCAAGGGTTATGTGTCACACAGCAGTGTCTCACTACACCATTCACACACAAAAAGGGTTACGCATCATGCAGTAGTGTCTCACTACACCATTTACACACGATAAGGGTTATGTGTCATACAGCAGTGTCTCACTACACCATTCACACACACAAGGGTGATGTGTCATGCGTCAGTGTCTCACTACACCATTCACACACATTAGGGTTATGTGTCACACAGCAGTGTCTCACTACACCATTCACACACAACAAGGCTTATGTGTCATACATCAGTGTCTCACTACACCATTCTCACACAACAAGGGCTAATGTGTCACAGCAGTGTTTCACTACACCATTCACACACAACAAGGGTTATGTGTCATACAGCAGTGTCTTACTACACCATTCACACACAACAAGGGTTATGTGTCATGCAGCAGTGTCTCAATACACCATTCACACACAACAAGGGTTTATGTGTCATACAGCAGTGTCTCACTTCACCATTTACACACAACAAGGGTTATGTGTCATACGGCAGTGTCTCACTTCACCATTCACACACAACAAGGGTTTATGTGTCATACAGCAGTGTCTCACTTTACCATTCACACACAACAAGGGTTATGTGTCATACAGCAGTGTCTCATTTCACCATTCACACACAAGGGTTTTGTGTCATACAGCAGTGTCTCACTACATCATTCACACACAACAAGGGTTTATGTGTCATACAGCAGTGTCTCACTACGCCATTCACATTTGTACACTGATCATTTGTACAAGGGTTATACAGCCACAGTCCCCTGTGACCATGAATTAATCCTTGTGAATAAAAGAATCACAGTGGCATATTTAAATTATGTTTCAGTTACTGAATGTATGATCTGTCAAACATTGAAGGAAGATAGCAGTTCAATCATGAAAATGATTTTTGTTGCACTGAAACAACAATGAGAACTCTGTTACAAATATACATCCCTGTGTGCAGCAGGCCGACACCCATCGGTGGCGATTGTTGACTTACACAGCAGTTCCACAAAATGAGAGTACATAAGCACGTGTAGCGGCCATAAAATTTCCGATCCCCGTGATGGGATTCGAACAACAGACTTTCTGATCCGCGTTCGGACGCCTTGTCCACATGACCAAAGAGGTTAACCCCATCAGCAAGCTGACAAGGTGAGGATGTCATCTGTGGGATGACTCCACGCCCTGCTACATACGCATTCTCATTACTTCTGGGCAGATGGGACATGGGCAGCAAATGTGTTCTTTGGGTACTTATATGGATTAGGTCATGAGTGAGTTAGTTGACTTTGTACAGTATTCTATCATATCATGTCAGCAGTAATGGAACATTGTCCTGAAGTGATGCAGTTAACTGAAGTGGACTACATCGGTAAAACCCATAGTATGGTACAGGCAAACCAAGGATGATCATATGCCTGAACCTGGGAATCCAAAACGGGATGCTTTGAATATTGATTCAGCTAGTGCGCTATTCAAAATATGTCTAGAAAATATATTGAACACTTATGCCCCACAACACAACGCTAACCAGAAGTTTGAGCCATTCTAAATTAACTCTTTTTGCAGGGCTATATTTAATGAGCTACACATGGCTAATCAGCCTTATCAGGTTTCAAGAAAGAG